GCTAGCCATTAAAGGTCCTTACACAGATATAGCCGGAATTACTGGGAAAAGATTATGGTATACATGGCCTGTTCTTTTCAACCAATCTAAATCCGGAATTCTCCGATCATAATTTCGTTTTTCTGTTCTGTTTAGGGGGAAGTTTATCTTAGGGCCATTTCCATTCTAGTCAGAATTGGCCCGCCAGACCAGCAATTGCTAAAGAAAATACCGCCTTTAATCAGATCTCTCCTAGCCTGCGAGTACAGCCGTGTCTCCTTACTCCTCGCCGCTAGGGGCGTTTCGTAAGAGAGACGTCTGCGCCTGAGCGACAGAAATTCAATACTGATGACGTAAATAAATGTTTTCATAATTAATCCGGTAGTTCCGCGGTTCGAAATATAAATTTGTTTGATTTTAACAGTTTCTCCTTGTCGATTTGATTATGGCGAAGTTTTATGTTCTTCTTCGCACAAGCTCCAGCAAAACTCGAATGTTTCTTCTTAAAAAAGCAGTATATATTCCAGGAATATAGACTACTTTGTAGTAGATTAATCGCGTTTCCATTCGTCCTTTCCCTTTGTTTTTCGTCGTCATTTGTATAGGACAGCTGAAACAATGTAACTACTATACGACGACCAATCAGAGCTCCTGACCAGATTCCGCCGGACAGATTTAACGTCATCAATATGGAATTTCTGTCGCCGATGCGCATACGCCTTTCCTGTGAAACGTCCCAAGCGATGAGGAGTAAGGAGAAACGGCTGTATTCGCATGCTACGTCTGTTCAGCCAGATTGCTAATTTCTAAGTTCTGTGCACAGCATTTCTGGGTTTCTAGTGAAACTCTCGAAAAAAGCCCAAGTTCTTTCTGGTGGGCCAGTTCTGACTGTATTGGTAATGATTGATAATTTATCATTAAATTGCAATCAAAAGAATCCGATTCTGAAGCTCAACCAGACTGAATTTGGCTTCAGACCGTTTTTCACTCGTACTTTTTAAAGACGAATTACTTAAGATCCGCCGTTCAAAAGACCGGAACATGGCAATAAAATCGCCGCTTAAATAGTTGCGAAAGCTGCCCAAAAATCCCCTGCAAAACGGGCCTTGACGGAACGTGTAAATGTTTGTTCAGAAACAAACCACAGGAAAACAGATATCCTTTCGTTAACGGTAGTCTAGCTATTATTCTTTTGCTGCATGTTTGATCCTGCTACCAAGAAAAAATCACCTAATAAAAACCTAATCGTATCATTGGCACTCACTTACGGTTAAGTTGCATCTGCTTGTAGCCATGCTATAAAAACCTGTCACATGTAAATCACGTGCCGCGAGATTCTTTACTACTTTAGCACGTAGACCGTTTTATAAACACTTAAATTTTACACTAAGACTACTATATGATATTTCTATATACAATGCTAACTACATATGCATATTTATCATATAAACACCCATGAAATACCAGGTGAGCTTTCGCGCGGAAACTTGATATCTTCACATGTGAAAATAACATGTTATCTTCACATGTGAAAATATCACCGTTGCTATGGCTACATGATAAATCGCGCCTTTCACACCAAAAAACTATTAAAGTGAAATAGTTTGGTATTTCATTGGTGTTTATATAATAAATAGAACATTACATGGCCGCTTGGATATACAAAATTTCTCTTCCCGTGTTGAAAAAATATTTCAACACTCGAAGAGAAATTTCGTATCTCCGCGCGGCCATGTAATATCCTCTATTTCGTAGCTTTAGCCACATGTGATGAATCAAATGTTCTACATCATTGACCTTTGCTGCGTACACCTTTTTTCTCCGCCGCCTCTGAAACTATTTGATATCATCACCTCTAAACGATACCGTTGTTTGTCATATAATATGCATATATTCAATAATAAAAATATTGCGCGGGAACCCAGTAAACCGTTTCTGTCGGTTGCGGTTGCCACGCAACTTGGTAGAACGGTCCTGGAGTTTGAACACTCGGCCAGTTGCCCGGCGCCGCCAACTGCGCGGTCGGCATTTGAGGTCCCTGTTGAATTAGACAAAAAATAATGCTACCTCAAATACTAGGCCTAGCACTCAGTGCCGTATACTTATATTCAGTAATGATGTGTGTTAAGGGTGAGCGTTAAGGTATACTTGTGGGATCCATGAAACGAAAACGAAAACGGGAGCAGACTCTACGTTCTCGTACAAACCAGAACGACGGAACGGAAGTGAACGCATTGTTTACTATCAGACGCCTCTCGAACGCCACGCTCGTGAGCCTTGTTAACAATTTTGAAATGACACGAGGAAAGAACTTTGTTTCGACCTTCAACTCTCTTCTAGCCTGCGTAGCAAGCGTAGAACGGGACCGCAAGAAAGGAAAAAGTAAAGGGGGATTTCCCTTTTGCGCCATTCTCCCCCCTCCCCATCCCCTTCTTGCGCCAGCCACACAGTCACGTTAACTTTCTTCTTCCATCGCTTCGTTTTAAAATGAACCTCCCAATTCCTTCTTGCATCTGCGACAAAAGCACCCGGCGGTAAACTCACAATATAACGGTGGTGCTTTTGGTTGAGTCGTTGGGTAACGAGCGTAAACCACACAGAATCTTAAGCTAAGACCGAGCATAAATGTGCGCGCTTATGCTTGCGTCGCTCAGGCTTTTATGAAAATTTCTTATTCTTCATTATGATTGGAATGCGTCGTTGACTCCGAATCAATTCCATGAGCCTTATGGAATTGATAGGTGTGATCTTAGCCTGCGAACGCAAACGTTTTTTCCGTGGAGAGATCGAAGCGACGACCAGAAATACGTCGCGTTTGCAGGCTAGCAGAATACGTGATCCAAGTTAGGGTCAGATACATTACGTTGGCATAATTTTTGGCATTATGGTCGGAGCATCGAGCATAATGTCGACATGATGGGCATGTTTTTTAGCATAAAGAGATAAATGAGAATGAGAAAATTAATAATGATATCCATAAATGTAATGAAAAGGGAATGAGACATTTTCACTTTCAAGTGCTATTAGTAAGGAATTGACTTATTCAAAGGCTGGTTTCACCATTGTATCATTATGGCAGGCTGCAAACTGATCAGAGAGCATCCTAACGATGGAGAGTTCCATTGAAATTAGACACTTTGAGTCCTTTTGAGCATTATTTGTCGTTTATTTCTTGTCCGTTGTTGTAATTGATACAATTCTGGCTTATGGAGGAATTGTTTTTTGTCTGCAGGCATGGAAAAGGGCATCAATATAGCCAAGATCATTGAGGTTATTGCTACTTTTAGAGCAAAATTTTAGGCATAATGCTCTTGTTTTGAGGATGACGCCCAAAAGCATAATGCTGAAATTTTCGAGCATAATGTATCTAACCCTAATCCGAGCGATGGATTGATCGCAAACCTACCTGATCCGCGGGATAAATGGAACCGGCAGGAGAAGCCGCGGGCCAGGTTGAAGGGGCTGAATATAAATAAAATTGGAAAGAAAAAGAAAGAAAGCATGAAAAATGTAACACTGTGATTTCAAAAAATGGCTTCTTGATTATCAATTTATTTGCTGCGCGTCATTTTCTTTAAAACCAACTCGGCTAACTGAGGGAACTTGAAATTTTTACGTAGTCGTATTCTGCTCAACAGGCGGCCGCAACTTTTACGGCGGATTAACCCGTTCCACACGGAGGTCTAGAAATTAGCAGGACAAATCACTACCTTCTTCCAGAGAAATTTTTTGACACTCTCTATAGCGACTCTGTAGGTGGTATTTCAGGCGAAATCGACGACGGGACGATCTTGTTAGAGAGATAAAGCGACGATCGCAATACCACGATTCCCATCAAAGTCGTGCGATGATGGCAAAGAAATCTGCCAAAAAGTTTGCTGCGAATTCAGATTTTTTGCTTTGCTTAGAGGTCGCCTATGTTTTCTACGCTTTGTGCCGTCATCTTTGTTTCTTGAGCTCGCTAAAATCATAGCAGCTAGCAGCGTTACCACGCGAACGAATTCTTAATATGTTAAACGATATTACCCTGAAAAATTAAACCGACCATTTGATTCAACACGCGACAAAAACGACGTCTGCAGCAGGTACCCATGGAAAGCTGCCCAAATTTAAGACCCTGGGTGTTGTTGGTCGGCCAGGAAGATGTATTCTTCAACCTCAGACACGACAAATCGACGGTCTATCAACTTTCGTGCCATCAAACAAATGACTACTCAGGCTTCAACGCAATTTCGAGTTCGTATCACCTGTCTATATCGTACAAAGTTGATTTTATCGCAATAAACTAACCTGCGACGGTCATGTATACATTCGCTTGCTGGTTGGCCTGAAAGTATACAACATAAACTCAACATTAAACAGGTAACCCATTCTTATTTATGGTCCAATGCGTTCAATATTTCCACACTGACTGTCCCCTTTTATCAACGAATTTTCTTACTCTACAAAACAAAGGACCACTCTTTTTCGAATTTCAGAAATTGTGATAGAAATATTCAAGGATGTTTTTTTTCTGAATCTCTTCATGTCCCTTTTCTGAACATACCGAATGAAATTACACGATTTCCCGAAATCATCAGCCTCCAGCCTCGGCTTTCCAAAACCAGAAAGAGTGTAGAGCTTTAAAAAGCCGCCTCCATTGAGGCGGCGACCAGGCGATTTATCAAAACCCCCGAAAAGTTTTCGGGCCCAGAAAGGGTTTTTTCCCATCCATTTTTAACGACCCTAGGGTGTTTTTGTGCAAAGTAGAAAGCAGGCCAGGATACTTGTCGATCTTGCAACGTTGAAAAGTCACAAACCTCGAAAATGCGGTTTGTGTGGCGTGGCACTATAAATGATGAGTCAGTTTTTTCCACACAAGATGGGTTTTCGTCTTCAAAATACTATAGTGGCAGATGGAAGCAATCGGTGTTTACTTACGTGAAAGATGTTTGCATCGCCTGCCTTGTAATTCATAGGCGGACCGAGAAGTTTCGCAGGTTCACGCGTTTCTCAGAAATTAGAATTCTTTGGAAACTTACGGTTGCATGTACGGGTGACTGTTTCCGATAGGCTTCCGAGATGTTTAATCGCTTCTCTTTAAAGAAAATGGTACCCTTGAAAAAAAGCACAAACAAAGTTGTAAAAACCTGCTTCTTCATCATCAAACTTCAGCCCCCTTTAATTTCTTATCTTCCACGAATTCAGAACAAGATAGAAATTTTTGTTAAGGCGTAACCCCAAGGGGGTACTTCGTTTAATGGCTGGTACAGGGTGGTTCCGCTCTTCTCGCAAGGGGAACCCTTTACAGGCCTCAGGTATATGAAAGGGTAGTGCAGTGATTTTACTGGTTGAAGTATATGAAAGCGTAGGGAAATCTGTCATTTTGGTCTGTAAAAAGTCCCAAAATTAAGGGCTAACAGATACATTTGATGGCTGTAAAAACGTCTAGAAAACGTTCAGGTTTATGATTTCTTCATACTTGACAGACAATGCATTTACAGCAGTTAAAAGAGGTCCAAAGGTCTTAGGGCGCTTTCCATTTGTCAGAACTGACCGGCCAGACCATTCCAATCGTAATCAGAATTTCACTTTTCTTCAAAACAATCCAGCCAGATCAGTCAAATCCTAAATAGTATGCATGAAGGAGATGGTTTTTCAGCAACAAACCTATGGAAAAAGCCGATTTCATTTGCTAACTGACTGGTCAGGCCGGCCAGTTCTGACAAATGGAAAGCGTCCTTAAACATTGTAGGCATGTGAAAGGAGCACCAACTGTCAATAGAAGGTATACAAAAGAGGCCCTACCCTGTTGGTAACATTTTGACAAGGATACTGACCTTGAAGCATCCACATAAAGCTAAATGAAAAAGACTACTCCCATCTCAAAACGGCGAAACGACCGAATTTGAAAGTCAGACTAAGGACATACGGTCCCCCCCCCACCCTTGCCCTCTTAGTAGGCCTCACCAAAGGGGTACCTTTTCTGCCAAAAAAGGGTAAGGTGTCAGACCTTGGGGCGGAGACTTCCTGTAAAAAACTTTGTTGAGTACTCCCCCAGGGACATAAAAATTGGCGAGTCCTTGACAGGAGGAAAGCAGGACACTCATCAAGAGCTTTTGATAGAAGCAGGATAGTGGTGTCCAAAAATCCCGGCCCTACGCGCCTGGCCGAGAACTTTAAAAGGGGAGGTGAGTCGAGACTCCCCCTGGAGATGCGATTTAATTTAATGCTTCACGGAGTTGATTCAAGAGCCTTCACAAATAAAAAACTCATTTGAGGCTAGGGCTACTTCATTGTCATAATAATGCAAAATAGCAAATGCTTTTACACTTTTTCTCCAAATCTTTTTGGGAGAGTTTAATTAATTTATATAGTACTGATCCATAAAAGATAACAAATTCTAAACATCACATCTACGTCTTCTCTCCAGTGACTGCAAGCCAGAAGAACTCAGCTCCCTGCGCTAGTATTTAACATAAAAGACTCTTGCTTGGGAAGAATTTATATGAACTCGTAAAAGTGAAGCTAAAGAATGTTAATGATCCACCACCGCCTCAGTCGCCTTAAGCGGGCAATAACACGCGCTTATTCGGTGTGTGGGATATGCAAGTCAATATTGACGTGTAATAAGTAGAGATTTGACGTGAAATAAGACTAAAATAAGTAGAAATCATACCACACACGAAGTACCAGCAAGCTTACCATACTCATGACCTTTTTTGCATCTTCCTCCCGAAAGAATGTCACGAATCCGTACCTGGGATAAGGGAATATAAACCAGTTTTATCAACGTCGCTATTCGATCTGTCATTCTCCGACGCAAGCGTTGTATGGGGCGCCACTATGTCTACGCTTTTCACACCTTGCAGTTTTCTTAAACTTTCGCGTCCATTAGTATTGTTAGCTTTAGTGGAGAAAGGGTTAACCTATCGCAAGAGCTATGTCTGTCGATAAAAAAACCTTAAGAAAAGGGAAAGACCTGTTAAAGTTCGGCATGCTCGTTTAAAGAATCAAGTTGTACTGATGCATTTGAAAACAAATTTTCAACCATTTCCAATTCACACTTATTCTTTGTATCCACTGGAAGTACCTTAACTAAACGAGAAACGGCCATAAAAGATAAATTTCTGACTGAAAGAAAGGTGAAAGGAAAATCTTATGATACATGTATACAGTCTCGCCTTTAATAATTAGTTTTTCATTTCAGTCAACTTTTTCCGGATGAATCCTTTATTTTTTTCAACGAAATATTGAAAACTTTCACTGAGCCGGGATATAGGATTTATTGTGAGAGAGGAGTCAATGTTGTATGATTTTGTATCACACGTGATAGAAAGCTGGGCTAGTTACGGATTAAAAACGTGAAATGCACGTCGCTTCGGGGTGTACCAGCCGAAGAGTGGCCAAAGACAGAACTGGAAATTGTCTACCATGGAGCTCATAGGCCCTCTCATTCCATCATCTTGTCATTGTTCTAGCAAGAACGTCTAAACTTCTTAACTGTTCAACAAATATTCGCTTGAAGTAACTTGGAGCACTATGTAAAATAAAACAAGCAACAACTTTCCAGCCTACCCTTTACTCAAACCTTCTGCGTCTCGTATAATTTTGCTGTCGCGCACAGCTCCATAACGGCTAAAAAATTCCTTCAGCTCCTCCTTTGTAGTCTGAAATCATATTATACAATATCAAAGTATACTAAGCAACAAAATTTCAGTTCTCGACCATTTAAGTAACTGAAGTAAATCCTCAAATTTGTCGCCATCTTTGCACATATAAATCAATTTACTGTAACCGTAGATTTTGTTAACCATGTCAAAGAAAGAAAATACGATGATGTCTAAATCGCGTTAGTCCACTTCAAACTGATAAGTGATAAAAAATATTGAAACTTACGTTGAATGCGATGCCCCCAACGAAAATTCGATATGGGATTTTAACCTGTTCAACAGGAAGATACGCCTGCAAGGACAGAACGAAAAGGAGATAACTATATTTTGAACACTAATCTACTCTTGTTCACTCATTTACTACTGAACAAAAATAATGTCACTACTATGGATTGTGAAGTATTTTCACTAGCTATGAACAGATCAACCGCTATCGAGTGTGAAAATGAGCTAAAACCATCAATCATAAGAAGTAAAGACACCCGGTTTCTCAGAGTGATTTCCGTTAGCTTTTAGTCTACTGCTCTTCATGGACATCATTTGAGTTGAAATGACCTACCTCACATGTATCGTTCTGAAAATTTTGTAATAAACCGGTATGATTATTGAAAATAATGTTACAGCTGTATTAAACTGGTTTCCACCTACAGTGCCATTAAATGTAACTAAATTTGTTTGCTATTAGACACCACAATTGAAACATGTAATTACGAAAAGCCATTCGTTGTTTAATAGTTCGATGTTGTACTTCGATTAGTGAACTTTATCTCTACCTCTCGCCTTTCCTCTCATCTTCTTCCAAAGAATACAACACAAAAAGGGTGTATTTGCTACTACTTATACAAAGCTTATCATAAGACTATTGGCCATCTTATAAAAAGCTTACCATAGCAGTCGTACAGTCTCTTCACCTTCGAATCGACACGCCGTAATCAGAAGAAATGAACCGGGGGAGGTGGTACACGCCCCGCGTAAATGTCTTGTTTACGTTCGAGAACTGTACGCAAACAAATACTTGGAAAGCAACTTCCAATCGATAGATGCCAGATAAATTGTTCTTAAGATAGCTCACACTATGATTTTACTATGTTTGGTTATCTTAGGAGCAAACTCCTTGGAAATTATACATGTTCCTTCTTTCAAGAACAAAGTTTTTTTGTCAGGAAGCCCAGAAAATCGTAGGAAATCATTTAAACATAAAGACCCGATCTTGATATAAAATGAAAATGATAGAAATCGATGATCATCTCAAAACTTTTCGTACTTGTAGTTTACAACAAAATTGCTGAGTCAAGTATTATAAGTGGCAGCTAAGTTCACCGGAAGTAACATAAACTGTAATTTTCTGCGTTTCGATGTCATGTCGTTTTCTTCTTGAAGGTGTACCGCCGACAACCCAGAATCCGTTGAATTCACGAGCCAGTTAAGAAAACATCATTTTCATTGTGCATGAAATGAACACCAAACCATTTCGCGTGCAACTGGGGGTTGTTTAACATGCACATAACCGTTGACAACTTTCGTTGGATGCTTTGACCGTCTCACTTTGTACTGTATTTATACTTCAATATGTACACATATTGACCATATTCGATTTGAACACCGTTCATTTATCGTAATCAGTAGCAATCAAAGGATACTATTGACCTTCGTTGCAGCTGTAGTAATCAGATGGCAGATAAAATTTTCTAGCTTCATAATCCTTATCCTAACTACTTCATGTTTTAAAAGATGATATCAATACCTTCACAGTTGCGTCCCAGAACATTTTTTATGCGTTGCCGTCAATGTCCTCTCAATCGATGTTTGTAAATTCTTAATCGCGGTTAATTTCTACCTGGTTTTGTTTGTACTCGTTTTTATCTCGGACATGCCGCATCACTCGAAGTCTTTCTTCAGTGAGCTCGGATTTCACCGCTAAAAGGAAAACTGTCAATTCAGAATAGTTGACACCTTTCGTTGCTGAATTATGAAATTATTCACCAGTGGGTACTGAGGCAAGATTCATCTCTAGTTGGTCGAAATCTACCTTCTGAACTAGAGGCAGAAAAGGAAAAAAGGTTACGAGGAAAGGAAAGCATTTCCGAATAAAGTTTCCTCTACTTTTTAATAAATGACCTAATTTGCATTGAAAAATCCTGCTGTAGGAAATAATTATAACAACTCTTCTAATCTCTTACATTTTTTCGAGCCCTTTTCATTTGCTTCCTTGATTAGTACTTGCAGACAGGAGCCATCGGCTCAGCTAATGCAGATCATTTCCGGCTAACTTTAACCTTCGTTTTAATGGGCGTGGCCACCTGTCGTCCATTCCGTATTGAAAGTGAAGTGCTGCCCCATGTAGCGCTTAGACGGACAGTAAATAAGCTATTCATTTGGCCCCTTTGAGTGTGAGTCAAATATGAAATATCTTGGCCTGTGCCAGGCTCTCAGATAGTACAGTGGGAACGTATTGAAACGAGCAAAGCGAAAATAAGACGCGCACGAATCCGCCGCCCTGTCTCTCCCCAGCCCTCGCGCGTTTTTCGCATTTCTTACTACTGAACGACTTTCCACCACCATCTGCGAGCCTGGAACAGGCTAGAAATATCGCGACTGCTTGTCTTCCAGATCGGAGAAGCGTTGCGTGTCGACCAGACAAAATCGGTATTATTAGAAAAGGAGAGTAAATTGATGATGTATAAATGGATAAGTTTAAAAAGAGCCATTATGGGCTCTCGGTTTGAAGTTTTTTGGCCACTATCAACACAAGGATGTTTTTTTTAGTGGTTTTTCGTAACTGGCACGGTATACGTTCTATCGCTAGAACATATAGTACAATACAATGAAACCTCTATTAAGTGGACCCCCAATTAAGGGGACACCCTTTATTAAGCGGACACCAGGCCGGGACCCGAAATCAACGTCTTATATTTTCCTTTATAACGAACCCCTATTCAGCAGCTACGTCTATTAAGCGGACGCGGACACTAAAATAAATTGTATTTGGCTAATTTCTATTGTTAAAAACCTCTGTTAATTGGACACTGGACTGAATTGACAATAGTAGTATTGGATTGTGTCCTTGAAATAAGTCCTGTAGTCGATTATTAAAGATAAATCAGTACATTTAGCTGTCAAAAAACTGTAAATTAGACCGATATCCGGCCGTATGATTGTCATCCTCTGGTCATCCGCGATGAAAGTTCACCTTAGAGTCTTGCAAAAAGTACAGCACAGCTTCCTTAAGAACATGGAACTTTATCACAGTACAAAGTAACCGTTGCATGTTAATTTTTAAAAACTCTATTAAGCGGACACTTAGGTAGGTCCCGAAGGTGTCCGCTTAATAGAGGTTTCACTGTAGTATTCAGTTGCTGGAAGCATAGGCGTACGGGCAATTTTCGGCCAGGGTGAGCGGTAAACCATTTGCCCAAAAAAATCTTGCAAGTTGCCCTTAATTTTTACAAAACAGTAGAAACGAAACGAGGCCCATATGATGCAACAACATAGGCCGTACTGGCATATGAAAGTGCCTCGATACAGTTTTTCAGGGTCAATACCTAACAAACATTTGGAAAAATTGCCACCACAGTTGCATTAGATAAAGATTGTCATAATCAGGGTTGCAATGACATCAGAGTTGTCATAGCAACGAAATGACGCCATTACCTATTATACTTGCAGCATTATTTCTCACTATGAAATCGTTCTTGGGAGCTTTTTCCTCCAATAGTCGCCTAGATGTTCGTGAAGTTAAAACGGAATCTGTAAGAGCGTTATTGGGATATTTTGGGATAAAGTTTCTAGTTAGAAATACAGTAAAAAAAGGAAAATCTTGATGTTTAGCCGTTATCTGTAGAAAACGAAGCGCTTTTGACATGCAATTTCACCTCATAGTAGCTTCAATCTTTTTAAAAATGTGTGTGAATTATTTTAGAGATAATTCTGGTCAATTGCTACAAAGAAGGATTTCATTAGTATGTATCATGGCCCTCTTGTTAGCGGCTTTGAAAACATTTCGGTCTACTTTAACAAATTAGTGAATAATTTGAACTACTTGATATATCTTTTTACAAAATTAAGATTCTTCTCGTAATTCAAAGTGAGAATTAGTCAGCCACTTCTTCACTTTCAGATCAATCGCTGATGCTATCTGCCATACACTGTTCTACAAGCGGAGATGATTCTAGAAAGTTAGGCGGAAGTTTATTCTAATCAATTCACGATTGGAAATAGCCCATTGCAGTACAGTGCCCAACGATAAAAAAAAAACAGCATATGATACCCTTCCCTTATAAAAAGAAACTCATCACGTGCATGGCAACCACTGTCTCGTGTGAATGTAACTGGATCATGATTACGCCGACTTCAGGTTAAGATAGAAAACATTTATCTCTTCAAAATAAGAATAATAAAACATGAAAACGTCTTTAAAAGCTGGCTTTGCGCAAATTTTCTCTTGCTGCCCAAAAAATCTGAGTTGCCCAAAATTTGGGGGGGCTGCAGCCCCCCTCGCCCCCCCGGCCCGTACGCCTATGGCTGGAAGTATAGCGTTGATCTAACTTAACTAAGATACATCTGCATCAGATGACTGATTGGCGCATCCTAATAAACTTTCACATTAAATGTCTGGTGTTAGTGGAGTCGGAATCTAAAGCTTCTACAGGCTATATTACTGCGGCAGAAACTGAGACACAGTAGTCCCAAGGGAGTTTACAGGTCGAGTTACCGCATTTACAGCAAGTTCATTATTAGCAATAGAGCTTGTCACTGGAAAAAGTTTTTCCAACTGTTTGGTGACGCTTCTCTTCCATCACCGCGCAAAAATTGTCTTAGTGTTCCTTAGCCTTCCTTCATGACCGTTCTCCTCGACGACACGCTTGCAGCCCAGTTAAAAATGTGCTTGGAAACCGGGAAGACAATGGGAAGACTGGAACTACCGAGCGTTACAGCTGGTAACCGCTGATTGGTCAGGCCGCAAAAACGTGGCCTTGATTCCAAAATGGAGGTCGAACTTAGGGAAGCGTCGGCTGCCAAAGACAGGAAGATCGATTCTAATGAAGGAAAAACGCAGACCATAGGCTGGCAATCTCTTTTAACTTTCACCATCCTCTCTCTGGCGTGGTTAGTGGGTTTCGCAAGCCGTCTTTTTGCTGTGATACGATTTGAGAGTATTATTCACGAGTTTGATCCTTGGTAAGTGCTTAGCTCACGTCGGTTTCGATCCGCTTTTTTGCAGTTTTTTGACGACCTTTAAGTATTTTTTTAAAATTTTTTCTTTTTATATTGTAAAAGAGAACCTAGATCGTGGAGTAAATTTGTAGCTTCTATTGCGGTCGTCGGAACGAAAGTGACTCCTTGTTTTAATTTTTTTCGTACCTAACTGTTCAGCTCTTTTCCGCGCGGGTTTAAACTATTTGGAGTGGATTTTTATTGCTTTGTACAAAGAACTGGAAATCGCTGCAAAAATACTAAGCCTTTTTCGGAAACGATAAATGAAACACGTTTTCTGTGAAATACTTTAAAGCTAATATTGTTGCCATCTGTCACGCCGAGTTGATGTCTTATTTTTACTACAAGCGTCAACTTGATCAAATACAATTTAACTTTGCATAATTTTATTGATAATTAAACAAGTTTAAACATCAGCTGGCGGCTACAAGCAGATGTGACCAGCGATGTCACTTAGTCATAGCAGAAACTCAAAACGATTAAAAATCACCTAAAAAAAATTCCGTCTTGACTTGTGCAAGCGGATTTTACGTTTGTGCTGCGATTCTTGCCACACAAAGGAACAAAGATCATTTTTGTTCTGCAGTTGGGCTGTCATTTGTAAAATAAAATCCTTTTAAAGATATCCTTCCGGTAATGCTTTAAATAGAATTGATGATTGTTATTAGTAAAGAGTTTTCGTCTGACTTGAGTGAAGTTCATATTAGGTATTAGTTCATCCCGTCCGGTATAAACTGAATTATTTGAGAATTTCAGGTTTACCAGAATAATTTTTCTTAAACATTTTATAAGCAGAATTTTGTTAAACAAGCGACTAAAAAAAAAAAAATGAAAAGATTTATAAAAGAACATTTCAGGATAATGGAGTCATGAGGACCCCAAGTCGCCGCGTTATAAATCTTTCATTTTACTTCTTAGTTGCTAATTTTTCTTAAGGATGTTTTTTATGATTTTCAAAAATAGCTTATTAAATACAGTCAAGCCTTGATTTTGTTTGTCTTCTAGTGATGTGAAAAGTGATCCAAACATATATTTCTAGGTAGCTTTTTGATACACACCAAATAAATTTGTTATTTATCCATTGTGTGGTTCCAGAAAATATCCATACCACCCCCTACAGAAGGGGTCGGATTTTCGAGGGGGGTCGATTTACCTAATTTTCCAGTGGGGAGGGGGATGCACCATAGGGAAATATTTCCAGAGGGTTCTTGTGACGCGCAAGAGAGTGACTAAGAAAAAAAAACACAAAAATCTACCACAACAAAAACACGAGGAAAGTTAAAGAGCTCTTAAGCTAAGAACAAGATCCGTTCAGTGTCCCCCAGTAGGCACTGTGATATTTGTATTCTTGTTTGGCTCCAACAACGACTCTTTCGCTGCGAATTAAGCTTGTGAACTTGCACTCGAAGTCCAGAATGTCCTGAACTTATTCCATTAAAATGTCACGTAGTGACGTCGGAACTTTTCATTACAGGTTCAACTACCGCTCAACACATCATCTTGTGACCCATGGTTTCTACAACTTTCTAAACTGGTTTGATGAGAGAGCATGGTATCCATTAGGGAGAATTGTTGGTGGAACTGTAAGTACATACCTGTATTTAATTTCATTGATTAACATAACATAACATACACTTTATTACGACTCCTCTATATGGGACTATTCTGTCGTAACATACAATAATATGCAACTATCCCCCCATTTCTTTACCATGTCGTTAAGCATAGAAAAAAGTGCCAAAAGAGTACATCTGAAAAAACAGTGCCACGGCAAAAATGGAAAGAAAGACTGCAAATAGCAACTTACAGACCTTCATCATTCTTATCATTCAAAGCAAATTTTTCTTTCTTTTCATTGGCCAAGAGTCCACCACATGACCTGCAAATAATTGCCTACAAATAATGGTCTGCTCATGCGCAATGCTGTCCAACTGTGTTTGGCTGCAAATAATATTCTAGTCATGTTTACAGTAGTTGAAACTAGATATAATTTTCTCCTTCTTATGCAAACTTGTCGCATCGCTTTTGAATTTGTGATTTTAAAATGGCAAAATTGAAATCATCTTTCTTTAATTACCCAAGGATATTCATTAAAAAAACAAACTCAGTGATCAAATGATAAAACAATTGTGGGACTTGGGTATTGCAAAATATTTTTGTTTTCTTGTGCAAAGTGTGGCTCTTGCTATTCAAACCTCACTGGGATTACCAAAGTTAAATATGAAAGAATCAACGAAATGGATTCTGGTCGCAGTAGTAAAATGTCATCATCTTGCAAATACCAAATGCAGTCTTAGATATTATTTTAACGTACATATGTACTGTTGACTAACCCTCTTGTTTCCTGTCAAATGGACCACTCGGTATCTGAAGGGCGTCAGTCAGGCCTGACAAGTCTTTCATACCTCCGCCATTATTGGCAAAAATTTTTTCCCTATGTAGACATCAGCACTTATTGTGTGTTTTGCTCTTGATGTCTACGTACCGGTATTAAATTGTAACAATACAAGACTAATATCTAACTCAGAGACCTAACGGTTTATTTAGATTCTAGGCATTTCCTTACCTGTAATGTATTTTTAGTTTTGCAAATATTATATATGCATGTAAATGACCATTAGACTAAAACTACCTTCTGCAACTATAATTATTCTTACGTGAAATGTAATTTAAAAGCTTCTTCTTGTTGTTGTTGTTGGGGGTAGTTTTTTTTATTCCATTTGCTGGGAGATTAATCCTTATTTATCTCAAATGTTGTTTAATTTATTATTATTTTTTATAACAGGTTTACCCAGGATTGATGCTTACATCGGCAACTATTCACTGGGTGTTAAATACTCTTCATGTCACAGTGCACATTAGAGATGTATGTGTGTTTTTGGCCCCCATGTTCAGGTAATTAACAGTCCTACCTATTTTTCGAGTAACTTAGACATTAACCTGCGAATACAGCTGTTTCTCCTTGCTCCTCACCTCTAGGGATGTTTCACTTGGAGGAACATCTGTGCCTCAGTGACAGAAATTCCATACTGATGAAGTAATTAAATCAATGTTTACATAAGAAATGCGGTATTCATGGAGTTCCAAATGCAAATTTGTTTGATTTTATGTTTCTCCTGGTTGATTATTAGATGGTAAAGTTTTGTGTTCTATTGCGAACAAGCTCCAGCAAAACTCAAATGCTTTTTCTAAAGAAGAATATATTCCAGGAATATTGACTGTTCTGTAGTAGATTCATCACGCTTACGACCCTGTTTACATTTGACCTTTGTGGCCATTTTTTGTGCCTGTCATTCATAAACAATAGCTAAAACAATATAACTACTATGTTGACCAATCAGAACTCCTGACCAGATTCCAGAGTCACAGATTTTACATCGTCAGTGTGAAATTTCTGTTGCTAAGGCAGTGTGCAAAGAAAGTCGTGTCCGATAGCCTGGGGCTAGTGGATTTTGCTATAGGGCTAGTGATTTTTGTTCTTAACTTGCCCGACAGGCAAGTGCTGTTTTTTGGGGAAATTCAAATTACAGAGGGATTATAATCAATCCTGCTAATCAAAAAGGGTTTGGGGCTAGTTGAAATGACTTGTGGGCAAGTACATGCTAGCTACAGTTTGCCCAAATGGCAGGCTGTAAAACTGACTTTCTTTGCACCCTGTAAGGTGCAAACGTTCTTCCTGGTGAAATGTCTCTAGCAGCGAGGAGCAAAAAGAAACGGCTATATTCGCAGGCTACTTAAACATAGGGTAAAGGGTTTTTCCATTTTTGATGTAAGGTGTCATGCCCTCTCATCATTTCAATTTCTTCACCTCCCCTACCAAGTTTCACCCGCTCCTCTGCCCTTTCCCCTACTGTAATTCAAGTAGCTCATTTATTCTACCCAATTTAAAAAGTTGAGGTAGTCAGTAAAGAAAAGAGGCAGAAGAGAGAAGGAAAAGGGATTAGAAATGTGCTTGATTTATATGTGACCTAATGATGGCATGGAGGCAGCGTGGCCGTAGGGTTAGAACGATGGACTTGTAATTCGGAGGCCCCGAGTTCAAGTCCTGCTCAGACCAATAGGTGGAATTATTATTGTTCTCGCTAGTCCCAAGTTCACATCCTCGGCCACGCTTGTAAAATAGCCAACTGATTGCACCTCCTTCCAGTTGGGATTTTTAACCATGTTATGTTCCATTTAAATTGTTTGTTTCATTATCCCTGAAAAGCCTTATAAGGAGAGAGGATAATTAAAGTATTATTATTATTGTTATTAGTTTTATTATAATTATTATTACCACTTGATAATGCACTGTTAGTATTTAGTATTTAGTAATGCACAAACATTAATTTGTTGACCTTGTTATCTCATTTTCATTTGTAGTGGTCTTACTGCCATAGCAACATACTTGTTAACAAAAGAACTGTGGAATGATAGGGCTGGTCTCTTTGCAGCCTGTTTTATAGCCATTGGTACGTTTGTAAACTGTTTTAACACAATCTACATTGTACAGATGTACATGTAAACAATATTAGATATTAAATGTAACTGAACATTGCATCCTTGGATCAACTTGCAGCAAGGTCTGTGATGTCAGTATACATTTTATTATTTTAGTTCATTTCTACCCTTGGTTCAAATTGATTTTCCTTTGCTGAACATTTGGTCTGGTAATGTACGTCAATGAGCTTTAAACAAAGCAAATCAAATTTGTGCACTTTACAGGTTTTAAACATTCAATTTAGCTTTGCTATATTCTCCATTACTGACGATTCTTGGAGAACCTGAAAGCAAAATAGAAGCAGAAATCAACCCTCCAAGGTAAAGTTTTTGCTTGGTCACCATTTGGCAACCAATTCTTTTGGTTCAGGGAGACTTTTTTACAAATCAAGTCACCAGCTTCAAAATTTTAGGCCCCATTGCAACTAAAATAGTCGCAACTTGGAAGGTTGAAATAAAACCAAAATAAATCCTTAGTTGTTTGATTCCCCGCCTACTTGTTGTGTTAACCCAGCAACTTGAAATCTTAGTGACAACCCTGAACATAGTATATACATGTAAGGTGGAACTTTTAAGGCATGATTAGTCAGTTGGCAGTTTTGACATGCAGAAGATCAGTCCAGTCAAGTCTATGTAAAATTGTGCTCTGATTATTCCAGTTCCTGGATACATATCGCGCTCAGTGGCAGGATCATATGACAATGAAGGAATTGCCATCTTTGCACTACAGTTTACTTATTTTTTATGGGTAGGTGTGGATTTAAATGATTTATTATAATTAATAAAAGGTCTTGAACAGTGCATTAGATTCGGGGTTTCTGAGAAGTTGTGAAACTCCAGAAACAGATGTGAAATGTTTTGTAAGCTGCTTTAAAAAATGGACCTGAGTGATTCTAGGCAGTTTTGTGGTGTCAGGAGAGTCCAAACCATTGTCGTTTACCTCCATTACAGTTCTACTCTCTGAATAAAAACCTAGTTTTTAAGAACATGTTTAGCCTTAAATTTGAAAGAGGTTCATATTTTCTAAAATCTTTTATAATATAATATTCTTTGAAGGATGACTTGTTCAAAATTCATTTGTTAAGTGCTTCAATATTTTAAATATAGTCATGTACCTTCTCTTAATTTTAATGTAACCCTTTTCTTCAGGAAATAAGGACCTATCCAAGAACTTTAGGCCTGGTTCAGACGCCGAACTTTTCATGAGCCAAACCTAATTTGAATTAAGCTGACCCAAATTATTTAGACCGGCTGAATTGATCCAGATGCCGATCTTAATTGCAGCTGAACTAAGTTCAAGGGTGAAAAATGCTCATTTCAGTCTAACTGTTTACAAAATACGTTATAATAATTTATGCGTTAGGTTAGGTACTTGAAAAGTTCGGCGTCTGAATCAGAGCTGCTCCAAAGGCGAAATTCCCGGCCAGGCTAGGCGAAAAGAATGGCTGAGCCATTCCAAATTGAATCAGGTGTTCCTAATTGATTCAGACGCCGAACTTTATATGTACTTGATTCAATGTATTAGGTTCGGCTCATGAAAAGTTTGGCGTCTGAACCAGGCCTTAATAGCCTAAATTTGTGCTAGTTACATGTACCATTAATTTTTTATATGCACATGTGTAAGAAGCTGTTCAGTCTACCTTGGGAAAGTGCTGAATTTTCATTCAAACTTCACTGGGTACAGCTCAGCTCCTTTGGGTGAACATTTTTTTGTGAATAATTTATTTTTTATCATTTTTTTCTACTAATTCATGCAGGTTAAGTCTGTGAAGACTGGATCAGTGTTCTGGGCCGCATGTACCAGCTTATCTTACTTCTACATGGTGAGTAAAATCCGAAATAAGCATTTTGTCTATGAGGAGCTTTATGTAGTTTTCCTTGTAGACTTAGTATCACAGAGTCTCATCGTACTGAAATCATGATCATTCTACTCACTGAGCACTTCACCTTGTTGGAAAGAGAAACCATTGACTCAGGCTGCTGTTGGTTATTTTTTTTTGTACTCTTAAAGGGGCTATGTTACAAGAATACAGCTGTATTTCTGTTTTACAGTGTGGGTCAATTCTATGCTGAAGTGCAATTATTCTAGTGCTCCTTCCCTTCCCATACAAAAATGCTCCTGTAGTGTTATTAAGAAAAGTTGTAAAAGAAAGCTGACCCAACTTTTTCAACTTTCAATCCATGTCCATACATGCCACAGATCCACAGTTGACAGGTATCAGTTTTAATGTCTAAACATAGTCTTGAATAGCAAAACTGAACCATTGTTTTTAGAATAAGTTTTTTGAAAAGGTAGCAAATAGCATGAAATAGTCCGTTTATGTCATGACAAGTTCACATCTTTCATTTCTAGGTTTCGGCCTGGGGTGGATATGTTTTCATCATCAACCTTATACCTCTTCATGTCTTCTTCTTGCTTCTCATGGGGCGCTTCTCTTACAAGATTTATGTTGGTATGTGCATTATACTACAGAGTATATTAATATATTGATTTTTAATACTGTGCCAGTACTGGTCAGCAGTACTTCTGTAAAGGCATGCTTCACATGCCAGCTGGCTTCCCTCAGTTTTCCCTTGTGTTAGGTCTTGTAAGTTACCTTGTTATTAAAGCTTTGGTTGTGTTACGTAATTATCGTGTCATCAATCAACCAATCTTTCTCCTTCTGGCGCAGCATGGTTTTCAATAATATTGAATTTGAATTGGTGGCATTTATCTGTAAAGGGACAGGCATTAATCTTGTTCATGTACAAGCCCTCAATTATGCCCTGAAACACTACCTCCAGATTTTTGTTCTTCATTAATATGATTTGCTCCTGTCATGGGTAGTCTGTTAGGTTGAAAGAAATGGCGCAATAGGCTGATTTAGCAACAGGACGGGAATGTCAGTTGGTGACGGGAAAGTGTGCGGAAAGGACTAGACACGACTTCCGGTACCCAATTTGCTGCTTTGCCCTTGGTCATGCCAGTTGTTTGATTTGTGCGTGCCGTTGTCAACTGACATTCCTGTTTTGTTGCTAAATCAGCCTAATGAAAGTTTTCAAACACCATTATTTTGGAACTGCTCTGATGAAGAAGTGTCCCTAGTGGCTTTTCTGCCTGTGCTTAAAAACTTTCATCACGGTATTCTTTCAACTCAAATGACTGCTCCTGTGTCTGCGAGGAAGAAAATGAAAAATTACCAGCATGCTTATGTCATCAGCCAGGGTCCAGTTGTTTGAACGCCAGTTAGCGCTAACCTAGGGTTAAATTTTAACCCACGCTTCTTTTTCTTTTCATCAAAAGCACTCTCTCAGATAATTTTCTATATTCTTTTTAGAGTTTCCAGTCATCAAATTGTAGGCAAAGAGAATTAAACTGGATTTGTTTTTTAAGCTCTCATATCTGAGTTCAAATTTGGCACTAACCCTGGGTTATCTTAACCCAGCTTCGAACAACCCAGCCCAGACAAAACGCTTGTTATTTAACTTACTACAAAAAACTAACTGTTGATCCAAGTGTCATCATCGATTTCTTCTCAATTTTTGCAGCATACACAACTTTCTTTATCATGGGTCTTCTAATGTCTATGCAAGTACCTTTTGTTGGCTTCCAGCCAATCAGAACAAGTGAACACATGGCTGCAGCAGGTAGGGTGCTTTCATTTTTGTGATTATGGAAACTTTTACGGCTTTAATAAATATTTCTGGAAATTAATGCACGGAATTCCCTTTATTAGTGAGCTTTAGATTCAAGGATGAGGACAACTACGTGGGCAACATTTAGTTTTAAGTTTTCTGACACCTATTCTCTAAAAATAGACACCCCGGAAAGCTTCATTGAACTTTTTTCAGCACAAAAATTAGTACATGTATGCTTATTTCCGTTGAAGGAGGTAAAGCCCTCTCCTGATCGCTAAATGATAAAATTGCTAACATTTGATAACTTGTTTTCACCTCCATGACATTCTCGCTAAAACTCGTAGTAGAATGTTGATGGCTATCACTTTTTCCCGCCAAAATGACGTTGGTTCGTGCACATGCACTACTTAGTATTGGGAAAATCTTGTTCTTGTAGTTGTACTCATCTTAGAATGTAACCCTCTCTGTTTCCTTTAATAGTATCCTCAGCCAGTACAATGTGGCATTGTATCTTTGTCTGCAGTTGTACAAGTTTAGCAAAATTTGTGTAAACTGCTCTAGAGCCTTTCCACATGACATCACGCCTGCCATATTCATATATATTTTTGAAATTAGTTTTAATTGCATGCACTTACTCGATTTGTTGGCATTCTGTGTATTATTTGTGTAATTTTATCGATTATTAACAGTATGATAAATTGATTGTTAGGAACATTTGCCTTGCTTCAAGCCTATGGATTCTTGGTTTACATTAGAAGCAAAGTGTCATGGACTGATTTTAAGAACATTTTTATCTTTGCTGTTGTGGCTGTTGCTGGTTTGGTGTTTATTGCTGTCATTTTTCTTACTTATGCTGGTAAGCAATGCATACTTCATCATTTTAACTTTAATTTTGTTTACATTCATTGAGCACTGTCCATCTTGTACAGTGGAGCAACTGGTGTCAGGGCTGTCCTCATGCAGTGCCTGACACCCATGTCAAGTAACCTTTGCTCCTGGGTGCTGCAAGAATCATAGTTTTAAGTTTTTATGCCAGGCGTTCTACAGCTCAGCTCTTTCAGCTCCTTATAGTGTTTCTTAGAGAACAGCCTTAAACAGAAGTGAAATCTCTGACTCACTGTAAGATGCATTTTTGTAGTGATGTAGTTGTAAGCACTGCCTCCAATACCAAGACCACCTTTATAGGCCTTTTTAGCAAAATGGACATTTTTCAATGAGAGATTCTTGTGTCAGGAAAGGCATTAAAGTTGTTTTTATTGGGAAGCACTTAAAACCTTGCATGTAGACCATCAGATGACATATAGATCATTTTTTTTTCTAGGCTTCAATATGATAGTTGTTCAAAGGTAGTTTGCTTGCCACTTTTAAACAATATTTTATTATTGCATGAGGATTTTGCTTTATGTCACATTAAATACTATTAACCTCGGCTGATAACACTTTTCTTGACCTTGATTGTTCTGGATATCACAAAAACCAAATCTGAATTGTTTTATTACAAACATATTGTTTCACAGAAACCAGTTTGACATTGCTCTTGGAAATCATGCATTGCACATGCAATCTACAGACTAGTTGGTTATCTGCTGACAGATGAGAAAATAGCCTGTAGGTTGCACTCATTTCCAAAATTAACTGTATGCTCTTAGCCAATCACAACACAGATAGTGATTATTTACAATGTATAATATTAGAACTGGGCAAGCTTCCCACTTTGGTACAATACTGTCATAATTTCACTACCACAATGTACCTTTTAGTACCCCTAGACAAGCCAGATATTACTTTTATGCCATCAGTACTGCTCAAGTCACTGATATTTAAAAGTCTGACAGCCTTCTTAGAGCACAAAATCTGTGTTGTGTTGTTGTAGGCTATGTTGCTCCATGGAGTGGAAGGTTTTATTCCTTATATGATACCGGGTAAGTAAATTTAGCTGCATTTAGCACACTTTACATAACTCAACTAAAGACAACAAGCAACATTCTAAAATAAAATCTATCATACTACAGTATTATACAGATGCCCTGTAAGTGGTTGTAAGATGAAGGTGAAAATCCCCTTTTATAATTATTCTTCAACTTTAATAGACCTTTTTACTGATACGGCGGCCCATATTGAATTAATTCGATTTAAGGAGTATTATAGGATGCCCAGGGGGCATGAGCACATTTCGTTTGTATTTTCGGGTGCTTTCCGGGACATTTTTTCTTAAAGTTTTCGAAGAGTAAGATTGTAATGGGAAAAAAGATCCTTGTGCCGCGTTTGGATGTAATAAGGATTGCCTTTTTCTAGTTTAGTATCAGAAATATGGTCTGTCACTGTATATTTCTCGGGAAAAAGGCGATCATTATTACATCCTGAACACGGCACAAGGATCTTTTTTCCCATTACAATCATATTCTAAGAAAACTTTACGAAAAAATGTCCCGGAAAGCGCTCGAAAATACAAACAAAATGTGCTCAGGCCCCCTGGGCATCCTATAATACCCCTTAAATCGAATTAATTCAATATGGCCGCCGTATCGATAAAAAGGTCTATTATCTGTTTTCGATAAGTCTGATAAGATTTTGCAGACATAATTTTTAGTTCCCTTTCACCATAAAAAATCTAAAATGCCCAATAAAAGTAGCAAGCAGTTTTTAAACCCTTTTTGCACAAACTGATTTGAGAAAGCCAATGGTAATGTTTATTGTCCAACTGCTACACATAAGACGTTTTTGTCAATTTAAGACTGCTCTAAATAGTTTTTTTTTTCTTAAACCATGTAACAGTGGAACTGACTTTAGAAAAGAAGGTCCAAGTGGATAACAGTAGTTTCCACTAACTATTAATTTTTGTTAGAAATTTTATTTAAGTCTATTTAACAATATTATTCCTTGAGCTCGAATGGGCTATTGACTCTGAGGCCATTGCTTTAGTAAAATCCAACTGGTTGGTCTAAAATATCGAGACAAAACAACTTTAGCTAGCAAAACGCGATTCAGCCGCCATTGTTGTGTTTTTTAAAGCTGGTGCCTTTCACTACTAGTGAGCTGTAACATATAGCCTAGTAGTAGCTCAACCAATCAGAACGCAGCATTGATAATAGACCACTAGTTGGATTTTACTGAATTATTTTATTGATATGTTTTGCAGTTATGCCAAGATTCACATTCCCATTATTGCATCAGTCTCTGAGCATCAGCCAACTACATGGGTGTCTTTCTTCTTTGATCTTCATATCCTGATCTGCACCTTCCCTGCTGGTTTGTGGCTCGTGGTGAAGAAAATTAATGATGAAAGAGTTTTTGGTAAGAATCCAAATTTTTTTCATAATCTTACAGCTTTTTTGTGTCTTTTGATTAAAAAGAATTCTCTTTTCAGAGAAAAAAATTATGTTTTTACTAATAAGATAACAGGAAGGATACGACCAAATTTTAATCACTCCTTTCTCGAATGTGGTGATTTTCTCTCGTAGTCTACCCAAGTGTAGGCTTTGACAGCATCTTATTTAATTTGTTCTTTGCAGTTGTGTTGTATGCTACTACAGCTGTATATTTTGCTGGTGTGATGGTACGGCTGATGTTGACCCTGACGCCAGTGGTGTGCATTCTTGCCGCTGTTGCTTTCTCTAAAACTCTGGATAACTATCTCGTGGAAGATCGCCAGGATGAAAACAAGGAGACTGAAGGTCGCGATGCTGAGGCAGAAAGCAGTGAGGAAGAAAATGACAAGAAAAAGAGAAAAGATCTTTATGATAAGGTACATTTATAACTTGCTAGCTTAGCTAGCTGTTTGTTTCAGTGCAGTTGTCTGACTTATGAAGTGCTTATCCTCATCGTCATCTTCCTCATCATTATTGTCGTCATTATCGCGATAAATAACATCACCATTAAGAAGAAACAAAAAGCAAACTGCCGTGATCAACATAATGAAATATAAATGCATTTCTGGAAAGAAAAAAGGTTTTTTAACTTGACGTTTCGTCTGTTGCAACATACATCTTCAGAAGTAATAAACCGTTGAATAACAACAGAAATAAGTAAAAGAATTATCAAGAAAATTTTCCAAAAAGAATGAAATAAGAAGCCTGAAAAATTGGGCTTCAAGGGATACCTCCGCGTTACCGGTGTTGATCCACCAACTGAAAAGCCACACAGGGAGCGAAATTTATTGATTCATTTCTCCCTTGAACTGAAATGATGTGAAGTATACATGAAATAATTCATTTTGAACTGCGGTAGTATACATTTCATGTATACTTCATAAATAAGTAACTAATTAAAGAAACAAAATATGACATATGGTAGGAAATATTCAACGGTTTATTACTTCTAAAGATGTATGTTGGAACGTAGGAAACGTTAAGTTAAAGTCATTTTTCTTTCCAGAAATGCGTTTATATTTCCTTATGTTATCACCGCAGTTTGCTTTTTGTTTCTTCTTAAGCTAAGATGGCCAAAAAATAAAAGTATCTACGATTTAACATCACCATTACTTGGAACACCAAAGTCACCTTAGAGTTCACATATGGGTATTCGTATCCTATGAAAACTTAAAGTTTGAGAACAGTGGAATGTATGATGTTAATTTAAATAACAGTTTATTGAAAGTCATTGTTAGGTTTTACAATGGATTCGTACAATCGCGCTAGAATTTTAGCCCTTAGACTTTCAGTTTTTAGTGTGTCTGTCGCGCGCTACGAGAATCGCGAAGCGCGCCACGCGATTTGCGTCTCACGAGAGGGTGATAACTTACTTCTGAGTGGTACTCTAATTATTGTTTTTCATAAACTGTTATTTATATGTTATTTATAGTTTAATTTCAAATAACTCGTTATTAACATTTGATAAAATGCTTCAGATAAAGTAAAAGACCACCCCTAACTGTTGGGGAAGGGGTCTTGTCCAGGAAAATCTCAAATTTAAAATGGGCTTTTTGTATGGATGTTCAATATCTCAGTCTAAGAGGAAATTATCTCACTTTCTTTGTACAGTGTGAATCTACGTAATATATAATCAAAGAACTGGCAGACGGTTACTGCTTACACTCACATTGTATGTTCTGTAGTGACTTACGAAAGGGCCGTTTGGTTTTCATTACCACATCACTGATAGCCTGCGTAGCGGGCGCCGGATTTTTTAAGGCGAAGAAAGAAATCTCGAGGACGCGCGTGTTCCCCTCTTACGGCGTGAAAAAATTACCTGCGCCTGCTACGCAGTCTACGCAGGCTACAATACTGATATTTCTGGGCACTGGTTTTTTATTTTACAGCCCGGCAAGAAAAAGACCTCAAATAACAAACAGAACAACAAACAAAGCAGCAAAAAAGTGGAAAAAGAAAAAGAGGAAGATGGAGGTGTGATTGGTGCAAATCTTAAGGGAATGGTTGTCATGTGTGTGGTGATGATGCTGATGATGTTTGCTGTTCACTGTACCTGGGTCACAAGCAATGCTTACTCCAGTCCGTCAGTCGTATTGGCTTCCACTAATTATGATGGGTAAGCCTTCTTTCTCTGCAAACTGTCTAGAAACAGAGCACAGAACGCTAGTTTAGCAAATCCAAAATGGCGTCTCCCAGCTGAGTTTCCACGCGTCCTTAAAATCAGCTCACGCCTTTGCTGTACAAAAATGAGATGGTTATGGTGTTTACATCGCGCTGGCTAAAAATTGGACCTCGCATTGGGCGTTCAAATTTTTGAACGGCTAGACGTCTAAATTTTCTTGGGTGTTTCCGTGTGAACGCCTACAATCATGGACAAAAGTCCTTGGGACAGTACTGCAATACTCATATTTTTCTGTCATTCTGGGTTCCCTCATTAAACAGTGCGGAGAATCCTTTTCGAAATTTTCCTGCAGTTCTCCCTCCCTCCACCCCATACAGAGTTGAAACTCAGAAAAAAATTCTAGATACGCGCGTCCAACATTGTTTGTGGGGTGAGGGGAGGTTTTGGACCGGTGTGAATCGGAAAACGCTCCAGAAACGCAAAAGTGTCCCAAGATTTTTGTCCATGATTGTAGATACACGAATCTTTCACTGGACGAAAATTCGTCCATTCCTGTGTGAAAGAAGGCTTAGATTAGCAACAAGGTTTGGCACATTTCTTTGCCGTCCCTGCACAACCACGACGTGAAATTTTTGTATGCAACGTTTAATGGCGGAAGTAAACACATGGAGAATAATTTTTCCTTCTCTTTCTCTTAACTTGGTTGCTATCCCCAGGAATTCAACTCCAGGGAAGTTCGCCCACATTTGACATTTTGAGCAAGCTGGCACTAAGTTTGACAAAAAAAAAAAACCTTTTTATACAAGGCTATGCAAAAATTGAAGGGAGCGTTTAATGGCGGACCACCGGGCGCTAAACACATGGACGGACATCTTGCCAAACGAATAATTTCCCTTCTTCTCCTCTTCTTTGACTTTCTATAAAGCAATCAACTCGATTAATCGAATTCTTTAATCGCGATTATGACCGTTCGATTTGATTCACGATTCTTTGCTTCCACGTTTCGATCCCCCCTCAGGAGTTAATTCAAAATCAGAATCCAGAACTCGTTAAAATGTGCGTTTTTGATTGACGAGCAAAGGCGATAGCAGTTCGTGCGCCATTTTGCGTGGCCTGGTAAAAATGCTGTCCTTCAACCACCCCTTTAGAATTTCCAAATAAGGCAAACCATCTTTGTCAGGTTCTCAAACATAGCGACGAACCAAGCGACTGTGAATCGTCCTGTCCTCGTTACTATTCTCAAATTGAGGGTTTAGGGTTGCATGTTGTTAACATTACACGTTATGTTATAAGAATTAAGTAACATTCGCATAATCGATATGAATCGTTAAACCCCTATTTCTGTACTCGTAAAGCAAATACTGTTGGATCAACGTTTGTTATTATTGGTTAAGAAAGACAGTTGAAATGTTGAATTCAACCACGAAGAAGCAATTACTCAAGTCAACTGATAGCTACTCTATTAAAAACTAAGCTTAACATCATTTTCCAGCAATAAGGGATGTTTCCATCATTATCTCCCTGCAGGAGTCGAAATATTCTTGATGATTTCAGAGAGGCGTACTTCTGGTTGAGACAAAACACAGATGATAATGCTCGGTATGTACATGTATGATGATATGTTAATTACAGCAGTCCACTCCGATCGTTAAAAGGTTCCCTTAAAGTGATTAACCGTCTTATATATCATCCTCTGATCTGAGACAATTTTTCTTGCGAAAGGAAAACGCATTTGGAGAGTGCGCCATATGTCCTTGTCAATTGATTCTCCTGTTTGTTCATTCAGGAAAGTTTTTAACCGCTCATATTCCCTAGATATATACCTCCCCCCACGTGGACTAGTGATAATGATACACCTGGCGACCTAACATACGGTTGTTTGGTGGGGGGGAGGGGGAGGGGGGGTCGACCAAAACCTTTTGAAGGTGGTGCCGATTAGAGAACTTTGACCAATGACGGCACGAGCTGGTGATTCCTTTCCAGTGAGTGTGGGCTAGGCCTCTAGGAAAGGTCCACAAAACCCCCATGAATGTGAAAAGGTTTTGTTGATGTGTCTTTTGCATTGCGCTACAGGATTATGTCTTGGTGGGATTATGGATATCAGATCGCTGGAATGGCCAACAGAACAACGCTTGTGGACAATAACACGTGGAACAATAGCCATATAGCTCTGGTATGAGTCAATTTATTATATTGCAGACACGTATTCAACCTTCCCATACTCCAGGGAACGGGAGGAAGAGTTGGCTAAGTTAGAGAAGCGATCATTGCAAAGGTACTTGACGAGGGTAGGGCCAGGGAGCGGACTTTCAAGACACCACCCATATAATTAGCCTGATGAATATTTTTTGGTGCATTTCTGCAAGAGATAGAGACAGGGTGCGCAAATGACGTGTGACATTGGGTACAGAACCACATTCCTGTACGAGTGTCTGTGTAAAATGGCTAATAGAGAAGAGAAGTTACGTCACGTTGCCATGGTAGCAAAATTTCTGGATGACAACAAACTGAAAACGTCACTTAAAAAGTGAATTCTCACTGATTCAAACTTCATAATGTCAAATGGTGGCCAAATCTTTCTGGGTTGAATGCGAAAGTGTAGAAAAAGAAAAAGAAAATGTTTTTGTTGTGTTGTGTTCACCAACTCCATAAAGTGGGCGCATGGAATTAGGAAGTTTCATGTCGCAGTCGTGCAACGACGGCTAAGAAGTGTTTTGCTACTAGTTAAACCTATTGCTTTTTTGCCGTTGTCGTTGCCGTGGCCATCGTTGTTGCTTAAGCTCTCTCTTATTGTTATCCAGAAATTTTGCTACCATGGTAACGTGACGCCACACTTCTGTCTATTTAACAATTATTCTTCGAGCCCGAATGGGCTCCGAGTCAATAGCCCAACTAGTTGGTCAAAAATATCGAGGCAAAACCACTGTAGCTTGTAAAACGCGATTCAACCGCCTTTTTTTTGGTTTTCAAAGCCCGCGCTTTTCGCTACTAGTGGGTTATAACATATAGCCTAGTAGTAGCTCATCCAGTCAGAACGCAAAAATCTGTTTTATAATACAGGTTTTTTTTGTATTGTTTTTTTTTCTGTATAGGTCGGTAAAGCCATGTCATCTAACGAGACCTCAGCCTACAAGATAATGAAGATGCTAGACGTTGATTATGTACTTGTTATATTCGGTGGTGTGATTGGTTATTCGGGTGATGACATCAACAAGTTCCTGTGGATGGTCAGGATCGCAGAAGGTGAACACCCACAAGAAATTAAGGTACTCGATCATCGCTGTTGTATTTTATCTTTTCGCTTTGGCATGTTGATGATAGCAAGATAGTAGTTCAGTACGATAGTTTACGAACCTGCCTTCTCTAATTCATTAGTAATTCATAAAGAAAATACCAAGGAATCAATGTTTAATGTGTGTTTAGAAATCAGTTGAAAAACTGCTCAGTTTTGCATCCTTAATTTCTCAAAGTCTAAAATCATTTTGTTTGGGAAGTAATACCAAACATTCGACACAGTGTTTCATCACCAGATGAAACACCTGCTCGAAGTTCGTCAAAAGTACTCCACTACGCGTCCTATTTTCAACTCTCTTCTCAGTGTTTCATCTGGTGATGAATTACGTGAAGCCCCCTCAATGAAGGACTGCCCAAACTAAAAAGGAAAGTAAACATTAAACCATACAGGAGAAGGATTCTTTATATTTTTTGCTTTTTCCTTTCATATTTACCAGAAAAAGTTTCACTTTGTCGGTGTTAGTATCGGACCGTGGTCAACATGCTCAAGTATTGGTCGCAGGGTGGGGGAGAGGGAGGGGGGAGGTGGGTTTATTCTATACCCCATCCTGCTTTTGCCCCACCCCACTCTTGCTGCGAGCGACTTGTTCACACTGCTCATGTTTGATCTGTTGCAGGAATCAGACTACTTTACCCCTCAAGGCGAGTTCCGTGTAGACGCCGCCGGTTCGCCTATCCTCTTAAACTGCCTTATGTACAAGATGTGTTATTATCGATTTGGTGAGATGCAGGTAATCTGAATGCAGTATGTTTTACTCTTGACACAATTGAAACGCGATCAAAAGTCTAAACGGGTGAACTTTTGAGAGGCAACGATGATAAACTGTCTGTCATCTGAGACATGCAAACTCTGAACTTAAACAGTTTCGTCGACTCTCGACTTTGTTTCATCCATTTAACAACTTGACATCACCAAAGTTAAGTACATTTGACTTTGTTACAGTGCGGTAGGCTTGAGCGGGTAGGAGAACATGTTAAGGTGGTCTTAGTCATCCGAATTTTCATAGTTTTGTGCATAAACATACTTAATATCTAATACCTCCCTTTTGAAGTCACCAATAGCTGGTTCAAGTCCCTTCTCCTAAGATGTTGTAGGGGCAAAGGAGTCAGTAGAATGCGTCGAATCTAGTAAACTATGATGTAAATTGAATTGCCTGTATTTTTATTTTTCAGCTGGACTTTCGATCTCCGTCTGGTTTCGACAGGACTCGTAACGTAGAAATAGGAAACAAAAACTTTAAGTTAGAACATTTAGAAGAAGCTTTTACTTCTGAGCATTGGCTAGTAAGAATATACAGGTACGGCCTAACTGATTCCGTTTCTCCTTTTCCTCACTAACACGGACACGTTTTTCACTCATTTTTCGCAACTCTATAAAGTGAGATCATATTTAATTTATAGGATGGATACTTACTGCTGGTTGGATATTAAGGGGTTTTTTTCCAGCATTGTTTGTTCCCGGGCACACTGACTTTTCTTTTTGTTTGAGTTTGCGCATGGCACACCCCTACGCGCCCTTTTGTTGTGTTATTCTATTTGCGAAATGCTTTCGCTGTCAGGGCCTGACCACGGCGTTCGAGCTAACAAACGTCGTTCCCAGGGTCACTCTTCAGGAAGTGGAGAGACCCTGGTAAAGACTTTGAAGCTAACCATTACATAAGCCTAAAGTTATAGCAAGGGACGGAAGGGAGGGAGGAAGGCAGTCCATGGAATTCAATTGTCGCTTCCCTTTCCATTTAAACCCCTGCCATGCCAGCCTCGTTCCCAGTGTTCTCTTCTACTCGTGGGGACGATTAAAGGACCTTGGGAACTAGTTTGCTGCCATTCAGGGTATTCGAAAAACAGCCATCGGAAAAATAGAGTAGGAGTACGGCAAAATTGTCACTAAAATTGTGGGGACGATTTTTTTATTGATGATATCACATTTTAGGAACTAGTTTGCTGCCATTCATATGATTCATAAAAAATCATATTTCGGAAAAACTAGAGCTATGGTCTCGGGTGTTTTCGGGTGTTTTTGGCATTCTTTGGTAGCGTGTTGGTCGTCTGTAGCGTTGTTGCAAACTGTCACTTAAAATTGTTCGTGAGCAAGTCCTGTCCAAATGTCGCTTTGTAATTCTAGCCAAACTATTTTTTTATCGATATATGATATTTACATTCTTCCGGGGTTTTATTTTACTTCCACTGGGCACTCTTGGTCCATATACCAACCATATGATTCATAACACGTTTAAGTTATTCACCAAATGATCAATTCTCTTCTAACAAAGAAAGAATAACAAGTTTTGTTGCGGCTTCTACTTTAACAGGGTTAAAGATTATGCAAACCGAGTGAAGAGTAGTGGACCTTTGAGGTCAACCAATTTAAAAGCTAAAAGTAAATACATTCCTCGGCGGGTAAGTGCTGTTATTTAGCGCGCTGAGTAGACTTCACTGTTGTTTTAGTTTAAAGGAGATATGTTACAAGGATATTGCTGTATTACGTGAAGTGCTGAAGTCGTTACTTCGTGCCCTAACCCATACACAAAATACTCATGTAGAGCTATGACGTAGATATCGAACAAATTTCTCTGGAAGCACTGAGCATGATAACTTGTTTTGGTGATTTTAGTAGGCGTAGCATTAACACTTGAAATAGTTGTCCCAGCTTTTTCAGGTTTCAATCATGGCCACTCTTGCCATCCGTTGCCAAAGACAACAAGAAATAGTTTCAATGCCTATGTATAGTCTATATATAGTATGGGCAACAAGGGTGTGGCAGTGGTGAGAGCACTCGCCTCCCACCATTGTGGCCCGGGTTCAACTCCCGGCGTCGAAGCCATAAGTGGGTTAAGTTTGTTGTTGGTTCTCTCCTTTGCTCCGAGAGGTTTTTCTCCGGGTACTCTGGTTTCCTCCTCTCCTCAAAAAACAACACTTTCAAATTCCAATTCGATCTGGAACGCACGGACACGTTTTAACGAGTTCATAAGAACTCCTAAGTGCTTCGTGGGTAAACAAATTACAATTTACCATTTTTTTGGTTTTAAAGAACAAAACTGGACCATTGTGTTGGAATTCAATTGATGCAAAGAGATGATTATTAAGAGGTTTTTAAGCAGATAGCGTAGATATATTTTCTGGAGCGGGTATTTGCAATCTAAATGTGCTTTCTTTTTGTATTGCTGTGCAGAATAATAGGAGAGGATACATAAAGGACAAACTCACAGTAGTTCAAGGCAAAAGAGTTCAGCGTAAAGGGAAAAAGAAGAATAAAGCAAAGAAAACTAAGAAAAGCGCTTAAAGATTCGCTGCCGCATCGTGTAAGACACAACTGACTTCTCCACACTCTGAGAGCCACGCGTGAGGATCACTGTTTCTTTCTTTCACCACCTTCTCGTTAAACTAGCCTGCGAAAAATGCCGTCATTTTGCGACGCCACAACTGCATGGTTTTGCCGCGAAAGACGTCTGAGAAACGAGCGCAAGAATTTCAAAGTGATCACGTATCACTACCCGGATCTGGGTAGTGCTTCTAATTGGTTAAAGCAAACTTCCCTCGCGACACGACCAATCAGAAGCACTACCCAGATCCTGGGTAGTGACGCGTCATCAGTATGGAATTTCTGCGCTCGTTTCTCAGACGTCATTTGGCGGGGAAACCAGTGGTAGCGTCGCCAAATGTCGGCTGTTTTCTCAGACTACAGTTTAAGTTGTTCTTAAGTAGGTTTCTTTCCTCTAATTTTGTAAAGATTATCAAGGACTTTGTAGTCTGCGTTATACCAAGGAATTTTACTACGACTAACGTAAACAAATTTGAATATAATTTAGTTAGAAATTGTAAAGAAAACAAGACTGCGTCTCCAAACCCCAGGAAAGCCACGTGAAAACGTTTAAATTTAACTTGGTTTGTAAAATGTTATTTACATTGCATTAAAGAATTTGACTTCTGACAAACTATCTTGCGTTTAAAAATTCCCCGAGGGGATTCCCTTATGAAAGAGACGCGCATGCTTGTCGAATTAATCTTCCTAAGGGGGACCAACTGATCTGTGCATGGCTCAGGCCACCCTGCCAGAAGAGCCTTTGTCTCTTGCTCGATTTTAGCGTACTTTAGAAAGACTGCTTGAATCAAGTAAGATCTTTGTTGAGCACGCGCGTCATGTTGCTAGGATATAGTTTCGAACCCAGGCCTAATAGCCGTGCGCTTGGTACAGCGAGCTCAGTAATGGCCATCGCTCATGTCAATGAATGAATGCTCGCACTCGAAAAGACCGGTCTGACGAGAGAAAACAAGATTAACTAGTCCAGAAGTTTGTTTGCGGCGACTTCAAAGGTTTGACGTGATGCTCTTTTTACTCCTCCTCTTCCTCCTCACTCATGAAGGCAAATAAAAGGAGGCTCCGCTGGCAGAGTGGTTCAGGCTTTATACATATGACCTCCAAAGGAGACCATACTCCTACACAGTATGGCGGCGTTTGTTTATTTTTATAAAAATAATTCTTTCCACACAACCTTAAATGATGCCTTTATGGGTAAAACTGATGGCTTTTTGTCCTGAACACCCAACTGAGATCAAAATCTGCAATATTTACCCCTAAGAGAGGTGATGGGCATCTCCGCCTTTTACATATGAGAGCCCCCGCCGGCCCGGTTTTTCAATCCACAATTATTTTACCTCCCGTAGATTGCTTAGAGTGTCACTTTGTGCTATCATCGCTGGATCTCGGAGAAAGGTTCGAAATATTTTGCACTGAAGCTACCATTACATGGACTTGAAAAGAAAGCCTTGCTGAAAGTTTGGCTTTTATAACCCGGGGTGAATGTAAACATCTTTCGAGGTACCGGGGGCCCCGAATAACCACTATCCAGTGGAAAGTTGTTCATCTACTAGATGTAGGAGTTATTTTTTCACAGTTTTAGGTGAGCTTCAAGTTAAGTGGGAAGGCGTGGAAAATTCCTCTGTCGCGTGCGTCTGATAATCCTCGCTCGCCTGAAAAACGCGAAAAAATATTGCCTGTTTTGCAGGCTACTGGATATAGTATTATCCTCGTTTTGAACAAGGGGGTCCAAAATAGGCGCTCATTGGGCTTCGCGATGCAGTGGCCTATTCCAAATAAGTTTGATGCTTATCAAATCTTCCTTCTCTTCGTCTACGACTTACCTTATTAGCCAGCACTACAGACGTACCAAACTCTGATAAGTCTGTCTGCGAAACAGCGCGAAATTCTTGTTCTGGGTCCCCACCTGTGTACCAGGATTTGATTACACGCCATGATTGGTTTGTTATAAAAGCCATTGTCGATTTGCCAATCAGGGTGAAAGAAAATTCGAAAACAACCGAAGTTAAATTACGTCTGCTACGCAGGCTACCTACTCTATGGCCTGCGTAGCAGGCCCTTGGAATTAATGGGCGAAAGAACTGGGCGCTCGAGGGAGACATTAACAGATATATTTAGACCGACGATAAAAATGTACAACACCAGGAGCCAATTGACATCAGTTTGTTTGTACGATGTCAATCGTTTTCTGTCAAAATTTTTGACAGATCACGTACGGCTGCCAGGTAATTGGATTAGGGACGGGAAACGATTTTCATGGGCCTCTCGGGCAGACACTCCCTCTTCCCTCGCGCGCCCCTTTCTCTCTTGAACCAATTACTTCCAAGCGCCTTCTACACAGGCTACCTACCCTATTGCCGTCATATTCTCCTGTGCTATAGATCCTTCTAAGCTTGCTATGATTTCGTTTACTGAGCAAAGAGAAAGTATCGCTATTTAAGGCGTCATCTTAAGTGGGAAGGATTATGCATAAGCCCAGCTTACTGAGTCTAACTTAGAACCTCACGTGATGCAAAAGATTTGTCAACAGCAAAAAGTGTTTTCACGAGAAAAAGTTTTGCCATGTGAAGCAAACTTTTTGTCACGAGAAAAGGCTTTGTCACGAGCAAGTTTTCTCACGAGAAAATATAGGTTTTGTAGTGTTCAAAAAGTCAGATTGTCACGAGATGTTTCATTAGACTAGAAATCAGAAATTAGACTAGCAATAAAAACAGCATGAAGAAAGCGAAAGAGATGTCAAGAGTAAAAAGGTTGTCATTTGATATTTATGGGTTACACTAATTTAACCCACATTTTCATGGTATACACTTTAAGATGGGAGACGACGGCCAAGCCCTTGGCAGACCCCCGCTGAAATTGTCTGCCGTCGTTTTTTAATTTAATTAATAGAACAGTTACGGAAACAGCAGACGTCTGCACACATAATAGAATGCAAATGGGGTTTGTGCTGTGCTACGACTATTGTTTGAAATGGGGTTTGTAGCCTGGTCATTCGTGAGAGGATCAAATTTTTGTTCAACATCAAGACACTTCTAACAGAAAACAGTTTATGTTGCTAGCCCTCGTGAGTGTTTTATCACTTTAAACTGTACTTTAGCACGTTTAAGCACGACCAACATCTCGTTGGGAAACAGTTTCAGCGAAGATAGAATGCAGTCTACCAGACGAAGTTAATCGATGAACCGATAATCGATAATAATCGATAGTAATCCATATCAATCATCGATGAATACCGATTTCCGATATCAATCGATAGAAATCGATAAAGAAAAAAAGGTTGTGACTTCGATTTATATCGATTTCAGATAGAAATCGAGAACGATTGATTTATTGAATGTTATCGATTACTATCAATTATCATCGAAAAGACTTAGTCATTCGTGAGAAGTTCAACATTAACACTATGAATATGTTTTTAGAACTGGATTCCACTGTGTCAGCCCGTGGATATACTGAATTGCTAGAACTGGATTCCAGTGTCAGCGAGATTGCAAGGAAAGAAATGCAAGATGCAGTCGATGGCGCAGGAGTGAATGGACATGCGAATATCTAATGAAACAAACCAGGAAACGAAAGACACAAAAAAATGGAAAGTGATGAAGACTGTGCTTGGAGTAGTTGCTGAAGTCGAAAAAAAAAGGGTTTAAGCTTAAGCCGGATGGTCTCATTGGTGTTGCTTGCCAAATGTCATCGTCATGTTCAGAACATTCACTTCAAGATTATTGCTTGTTATCGATTACTGTCGATTGTGATCGATTCAGTTGCTAATCGATAATACTCGATAAATTATTTTTCAGTGACTTCGATTTCTATCGATTTCCGATATCAATCGATATCAATCGGCGGATTAAATAGATTGATATCGATGGTTTCGACAAGAGCCATTTCTATCGATTAACGACGTCTGTAGTCTAGCAGTTGATCACTCCATGTATAAGTCACATATTAAAAATGAATAACAATAAACATCAGTAACGAGGTTTTAATCAGTAATGTAATAAACATCAGTAACGATTTTGGTTTTTGGTCATAATCAGTAATTTTTAGAAGAAGCTACTTCCTTATCATGTCCCCTAACCGCATACCAGAACTGCTATTTGAACAAAAGAATGCCATTTTATCATAAAAATTTTTGGTTGAAATGTAATTCCTCGCTTTGGTCTAAATAAACCGTTTTGGACGCGCTAAATTTTCTGCGATACTGAAATATTTGGAATGCCATTTTATCTTTTGAAATATAATTCGCGTCATAAACCGTTCCTATTCTGTATTTTCAGTTCGGTTACGACAGACACAGCGATATTGATTTAATTTCATATGCTAATTATGGCGCCATGACCCACGTGGTTGTACTTTGGTCAAGTAAAAACCCGGTGTGTCTACACTCTGTGTACACTGGAAAAATGTTCAACTCTGTCTTCTTGGCTCGAGATTTTTTCCTCCACATATTCCAACAAGTTACCCGGTTTTAGTGAGAGAGCTCAAACAATGTCTTACTCTATTGAATAGTGCAGGTAGGTACTTTCATTTTTTCAAGTTGAAAAAATTTCTCATTTCAATACCGGCTTTAGCTCGCTAGCATATTGTTTAGCAATTTAGCATCAGACGATCCAAGGTCATTTCTATCGCCAATCATTCGTAGCCAAGTTTGAATTTTGATTATTAAAACTGGTATTTTATTGAACGCAGTACAGTTAGCAGCCTGAATATCAGCCACCTCTTCGAAGATTTGCGACTCGCGGAGATGGCTGAAATGCAGACTGTACCGTTCGATACAACAGCCAAAGCCCCGTTAATACCCTGACGGGGCCATAGAGAAATTGCAAGGGCTTTCTTTCCCCAGGGAAAAAAGTAAACTGTGTCCGTATTAAGCGGGTGACCGTAAAACTGGGATTGAAAAGACACAACATTTTTGAAGTGGAAGAGGAGATTGCTGTCTTATTTAGCTCAAAGCCGGCCTTACTTGTTTGAACAGTTGTCATTCCGGACTAGTCTCTATTGGCCCCGTACGTGAAACGGAAGTTTAATAGGGGTTACAAACCCTGTTATAATCCGTAGCGTGCAATCACGTACACGTGCTTGGTGCGTGACGGGCAGATGGCGACTCGGGAAAATCCTTGTCTCATAAAGAGTTTTTTTACGAACCCTGTTAAGAGGAAATTTTTTTCAAATTCTGGGCAATATTTGACATACATCGACATCAAGTCGCGTGCATTCTATATTTAAACCGTAACTAACACTTCGCTACGTCACGGCGCGTGCACTTTCTTTATCGATGTAACTTAATTATTGATGTTTTCTTCTGTGTTTGGATTCGTAATAGCTGAAAGTCTGCGAAACAAACGACTACGTATAAGACATTTCTATCATTGGAGCGTCTACCAACGATCTCCTGACGTCTTTGAGTTTTGAACAGAACAAGAAAGCAAGATTTTTGAGCGAATGGTCGATGGAAAACATCACTGACTTCCTCATGCATGACGTAAAAACACAATCGTCAAAACATCGCAGGTGAGTTGCGTTAGCTTGCGCTTGCAAGCGTCGCGTTTTGCTTTATCTGTTTCGTTTATTGACCAGTTATTTTATTGTTTTATGGCTCTTCCTTTAAGCTTTTTGCAGTAGTTAAACTACATTTTACAAAGCATCTTACTTTGTTTCATCCTTCAATGTAACAACTTACTAAAATAATTATAAATTACAATCGCATTGCGCTGTTTTGAGCCATCTTCTGTGATGTTTTGTGATTTCCTTGTTTTGCAAACCAAATCTTTGTATTGATTATCTTCAAACCAACTAACATTTAAATTTAAAGGAAAATATTCTTTTGTATACTAAGAGAATTTAATGGTTTAAAAGTTCTATTTCATTACAACGATACCCATTTAACTCCAGACAACAGGTAATTCACACGTACGGACAGTTAACGGACGGTTAACAAGCTACCATCCAAAATGCTAATTTTAGTCATGTCGCGTGGTCGCTTACGAGGAATAGCACCACAAGGGGTCTCTTGCAGAAGATGCCTAAACACATCTACATTTTTCTGCAAGTTACGATATATGTGTAGTTTCATGTTGTCGCTAAAAGTCTGAAAAGTTAACATCACATTCTCTTGGTAGTGTGGCACATACAACGAGTATATAGATCAAACCATGACTCAGTGGTCGTTTACAGAACTGTGAGGATAAAACAGTAGAAAATTCTAAAGCCGTCATCCAAGAAAGTTTTCGCGGTCGCTTACGAGACGATCCAAACTGTTAGTGATTTCAGTGGGAAAAATTTTTTTTATTTTGAATAGGTGGTCGCGGAAATGGTCGCTTAGGTGGTCGCACTTGAATGTTCGACTGTAAACATTTATACGGTTTGCTCAAACTAGCAAAGACGAGAAGAATCGATGTATTGGCTTTGAACTGTCGTTTGATCAATCGTGCTTAGACTATGACGGCTTAAGTCTGATCTATTTTCTTTTCTCACATCATTTCTCATCAATTCAAGTACCCATACCATAAAAGTACAAAAAAGCTCTCCAACACGTGCGTAGAAAAACCAAAAGGTCAAATAGGTTTCATAGGTTTTTGTTTTTCCTTTCTGAGGATATTGCGATTTTAAGACTGGCAGTAAATATTATTGGTTTAAACTAATAATATTCTTTTCTGAAGTGCCTGACAGTTATGACAGTTATTGACCCCGGTATGCTGGATTAACATTTTTTGCAAAATATTAGTTCAATGCAAATTGCTTACGCCTCGCAAAGATCAAATATTTCTTTTTATATCTCTATGGTTTTCAGGCAAGACTATCGGATTTTTTTTTTCAGTTTCAAGCTTTTCTTCCAGTCTGTTGCGGGTGTCCTGTTTTCGACTGTCAAGTTTTTGTACAAAAGCAAGGCTGGAAATGAAAACGGCCTTCAAAAAGGCGCGATGAAGTGGCGATCAAAAAAGTCTTTTTTCAAGTGTGAAGTGAGCACGCAGATGTTAAGTACCTGTACTAAGCCAAATTTAGTAGTTTCAGGCAATTCGAGAGCCCAAGTAACTGAGCAGATTTTATTGATCTCACCAATACGGAAGTTTCCTACACGTGAAGTTTACTACGTGAAATTGGAACCTAGGATTCTGTCAGCGTTAAAACCAAGGCCAAGGTTGGCCAAGGTGGCCGCGCATCTTGCAGGCATAATGCAATTCTTGCCCTTGACTCATAGCTGAGTCAATTCCAAGCATTCCTCGCCATCATGCCTTCGGTTTTTGTGCGTGTATCCCACGGAAGCGTAATTGCCATCAAAGGTGCGCCAGGGGTTGGGGAATCATTTATCATCGTTGAGTTTCCGCATATGGCATGTAAAGAGAACATAAGCATAAGCTTATTTAAAAAGAAGTAAAAGTTCACTCTCCGCGTTGAAATCGCCATTAACCAGTAGTAGCCAGCGGTAAATAAGAGTACTAATCACAACCACGCGCGCGGCAGAACATTTTGGAGATAAGATCAAGAGCATCAGAGCTTCCTCTCCTCTCGCGTGTCTCCCTCGCGCGCCCCGTTTTTTCTTGCGCCTAAATTACTTCAGTTTGTTGTTTTCTTTTGCAAGTTAAGGCTATTGTTTTTTAAACCTCAGCGGGATTGACATATTTACATAAAAAAAACAAGAATGAAATGACTTCTGGCAGGGGCCCATAATTATGGGCTCCTTGATGTAGATGTCATCGTGAATGAACCTTTTCGTGGAAATACACAGACAGGTTTAACTTGTGAAGTGACTCTTTTGAAAGAAAGTTGATTTTCTTGTTTTGAGCGATGGAGGTAAAATTGTGGACTGTCAAGACCTTCTACAGCGGAATCCATCCAAACAGAAGTATCCGGAAACTGTAAGGTCTCGGATACTGCTCTGTTTTAGTTGATTTTCGTTTAAAGTTAGTTTTTTTTGGAGTTATTACTGTTTCGTTCATTTATTCACTGTGTGGGATGTGTTTATTGAGACCTCAAAAGCCTCGATATGGTTGGTATGGGCTGGTCCGAGTGGTTTTTCAGCTTTTCGGAGGAAAAAATACAAATTGTCGACAAATACCCGAGAAAGTGGTTGAGGAGTTGTATGGTCGCGTACGCTAGGAATTAACTGAGCTTATAAAAGGCACATCATAACTCCATCGTTTTTATCTTGTAATTTTGCAAAAGCTCAATTGATAAAAATAAATAAAAAACATCGTTTATTCCACTCTTTCAAGTAAAATACAACTGAATTGTAAAGTGGTAAAATTAACAATTTGAATACAATAATGTACAAAATGTTATGAAACTAGTCTAAAAATTTAAAGGTAATAAAATCATTCGCTCTTTTGGTTCTAGTGTAAGGGCGGAAAGACTTTTAGTGGCCAGATCTAAGATCATATGGTACAATAATAACTTCATGACAAGTAACCTCCATTCAGAGATGAACCTGCGACTTACAGCAAATCGTCTTTTCTTAAGACTCTCAAGGCCAGAGAAGGACATGTACAGAGCTTCATCATAACATAGTCTGGGAAAACAATCTTAAGGGCTCGTTTTTGTATAGACTTTAACTTGACAGATAAGTACGCTGGAATATCTTGCCATGCTGGGAGAGCATATTGATCTATTCTGACACAGCACTTATAAATATTGACAATATTGCTGCCAGCTACTCCAGCTCTTTTAAGCACCCTTAACGTATACAATCATTTGGCGGCTTTACCATGATAAATATAATCAACGTGGTCGTTCCATTTAAGATCGTGCCTAATTTTTACACCAAGTAATTTAAAGGTAGAAACACGCTCTAATTGGTAATTTCCGATGTAATTAGGCTCTGTTCAATACAAAAATTATGTGTCTCTAACAGCCAAATTCAAAATGCTAATGGAGTGACGTGGTAGGACTTCTAAAACTGTAGTATCATCTACGTATTTAGCTAGCATTTAGCTCTTATATTCCATGCCGTCGCGTAAGAGTCTATTTATCATAACTTAAGAACAGTGTCACGCCCATCTTAGTCCCTTGGGGTATACCACCATGCGGATGTTTCCACTCGTGATGCCCGTATCGGGGATTACGACTATTTTACAGTGCTGCGCGACTGTACAAAGCCACAATTTGCAGTTGCGTAGAAGGCTATTTATGCCCAGTAAACTCGAATTCCATATAGATATTAATAGTACTTCCCAAAAAGTGAGAAAAAAATGAAAAAGTAGAAAAAATATTAAAAGGCCAGGGCCAAAACGTTGACCTATATCATTATCTTCTTATTGGTGGAATGGGTTAACTTCAGTTTGTAGTGTTTTAATAAGTTTCCGTAGGTCATATGTGAAATAAACCGGTGAGGGTCGTTGTGGCTAAAGTTTAAACATAAAATTTTATTTCTTTTTTTCACAAAAAGCTAACATGAGGCGATAGTTCGGCAGTTAACGTTTCTATTTAAACCCTATTAATCGTTACGTTACGAAATGTCATGAAGGTAGTAAGACGGTGTTATAGACCGTTCCAGGCTGTTATAGCCTGTTCCGGAGAGAACAGAGGCGAAAGATAGGGAGAAGCAGAAAGAAGAAAATTTATTTCGCCCCCTCTCCCTACGCCTCTACCCCTTCGCTTGTTTTTTTCCTTCCTGCTTCTCTTTACGCCATTTATATCCCCGTGATTTCAGCGCCTGAACCAGGCTTAGGTATTAGCGCTCAAATGGCGCTTTTGCAATGCCTGTGGCTTGAAGTATATCAATGTTTTGGTATGAAAAGCCAGGCGAACGTCTAACCAAGTCTTTGCCTTTGTCTCTAATAGCCTTCTCTTTCTTTCTGTCAGTTGCACGGATTACTTTGATGCAGCCGTCACAGAGGCGTTTCAGAAAAAGAGGTCATCCGTACGCATTCTGGATGCAGGTGCAGGACAAGGTTTAACAGCATTCTACTTGCGTTCACTGGGTTACAACAACATTGACGCATTAACGGTGTCTAAAGAGAGACTGGATAATGCTGAAGGAAGTGGCCTCTACAGAAACCTACTTTACACACCACTGAAAGCACAGTCAACGCTTTGTGCGACGGGCGCGTTTGATGCCGTGATTTGCGCGGATGGCGTTTTTCCCAATGAAGTTAACCCTGATGCCTTGGACGAAATGTTGCGTCTTGTTAAGCCAGGTAAAGAAACAAAGCTTCAGTAGATTCCTTGGTTTGTTACTGTTCGATTTGTTTTTTTTATCATTACTATACTGACAAAATTCTCAAAACTTATTGGCTATAAGCTCTCCTGATTTCAACATTGGTTTGTTAACTGTTCGATTTTTTTTTGTCGTTTAATTCGTGATTAAACAAATCAGGACTCCCGATTCTATTAATCACAGTCCTGTTACCATTATATAAAGTATAACAAACTGAATACGAAGCTGAGTTCTTTCACAGCTGGTGAGCTTGTCCAGCCTTACACGTTTATTTTGGACTCAAGAGAGCACTAGACTCAAACCGAGACCAAATCCCATATGCTGTAAATTATCATGATCATACAATGAGTTCAGCAGCACAAATGGGAAAGGTACTATTACTGAGCCAGCAGCGGCGCGCTGACGAGTCCCAGCGAGGTTGAAGTGGCCTTCCACACCTGCTTAAATGTGTTTTAAGAGGGCTATCAGGAGATGTCAGTTAGAGAACTTTCCCTCGCGAAAATGGATGCTCCGCTCCGTCTATGAGCGCAGTCGAGGGCAAGAGTAAGGTATCAAAAGAGAAATTTAAACGCCGTGAAGTGGTCAAAATTACCGTTATTAGGTCTGTAGATTTTTCTGACTGGTTTGTCGGACTCAAAAGATATTCTGCTCTGTCCATGTGTAAAATTGTTTTTCGTTGTTGTTTGTTTGTTTGTTTTTTCAGGTGGAATTGTTTGCTTCACTATGAACGCAGCTCAGTTTGATCTTCCCCACGACAGCTTCAGACTTAAATGCGAGGAACTGATTACCAGCGGAAAGTGGAAAATAATGTCCCAGGGAATAACATCCCTCGACACGGGAAAAGAAAACGATAACAAATATGACGAGTCTCCCTCCAGGGAAAGCTATGTTTTAGTTTTTATGGTTATAGATAACTTTTGAAATGAGCACGGCCTCTGTTTTCACGCTCGTGGATACCGAAGGACAACTCATGGTAATGAAAGAGTTTAAATTATCACAGCGTTTCAAGGAAAAGACAGCGGTGAAGAGATAATTAAACTTCTACAATGAGTGACAGATTTTAAACCCAGGTTTCGGGGAGTAACTGGGGTTTTTGCATTAATTTAGGACCTCGAACCGCGTTTTTCCTGATGCCAATCAACCAAGACGCTTAAAGGTTAAAGTATGGTGATTTTCGTTGGACCCGTGGCCGAGAAGACCGTAGTCAGAAAATAATCAAGTTTTGTTGCTTCTGCCGCCTGTTAATAGAAGCCAGTCTTTCCGAAGAAATGATAAATAACAGTTTTTAATGACTGTAATATAGTACAATTTTTTACATAAAAAGCAAAGTAAACCACCACGCCCTATTTCATCAGACGTCGCTCAAAAACGATTGATGGTTGGATTAGGGTTGGGATTTCTCTTTGTCTTTATCATTTTACCCATTGCCAAGTTTTACGGGTTCCTCCCTGGTAGACTTCGAGCAGTCTCTCTTATTTCTTAGCCCGTCGAGGGAAACGCGCGAGACACGAAAATCATCACGCGCGCGATGGAAGGCGCGAGACGGGAGAGGCACTCGGAGGCACGAGGCTCTTTTTTCAACGCTCACGTGCGCGTAAAGAGAGACTGCTCGTAGTCTAGCTCCGGGGAAACCCGAGAGTGTTTCGGATTGTTTCGATGTTCCTGGCTTTATGCTCTGAGAATCAGGGCGCTCTGTTGGTCTCCATCGAATAATGATTCAATAACTTCCTAGTAATAAATAATAATAACGATTCATTTTCTCTTCTTATCACTTGTAACGAATGAGATCTAAAGTCTTATCCTGGTTCTTGTTATTAAATGGCTGCATAGTTATGGAAGGTGTTTTAAATTGATAATCATAACTTGATATTTTATATAAATACAAATATTTAATGGAACGGTTTTGATAAGTGCCGTCTAGTGGTTCGTACGCTAATTTATATTTTGTCAGAAGTCAGTAGAACTGGCAGAGACGTGAAAGAATTGAAAAAGGAAATTAATATTATGGACCTTGAAGAAAAGTTTGAAGAAAGTTTTTTATTATCACAATATTTGTATGATAATATTGAAAATAATTATGTTGTATTTGCTGTTTGCCTCATCTGTACAATAAACCTAAACAGTATCCCAATTATTTCTCTTTGGTTTTATTATGCTTGATATGATTTAATTATTTCCAGTATGAGTTTAATTTGATGAAGTATTCGCATATGCCCAAAAATATCTTCATGTTCTACGTCTATACTAAGGCCCCAGGGGACAGGCCCCTCCACTTTTCGAAAAATAAATAAGTAAATAGAATTAAGTAATATACATTTTCATTTAAACGTATCTTTGCTGGAATAAGGATGTTCCTCGCAAAAGCGCCTAAATTTATTATTGGTCGGTTTCGATCCCTTATCTAATGCGTATCTTCAAAACGCCTATTGCAAAACTGCACTTAGCTTAGTCTTAGAATTCTGCGTTTTCAAACCAGCCGGGCTATGTAGCATATGCGGCGATGTGGAATGTCTCTTTGATGAAGGTTCTTGGTTAAATCTGACGACTACCAGCTGCTACTCCACGGAATCTGTCATTTCAGTCTGCATGTTATGGCTGTGAAAAAGTAGAGAAAAGGTATACGAAAAGGGTACCTTCTCTGCCAAAAATGGCATATTCAGTAAAGCCGCTAGTAAGGGGCTGGAGCATCCAGGGGGGGTACTCGGGATTTCAAGTGACGGGGATGATCGAAGGATTTTTTGGGGTTTGAAATTTTCGATTGCGGGATTTTTTGGGGTACGAAAATTTGGCAAGTATTTTTTTGGGTAGCTTGATTTGAGAAGGGATTTTTGGGGGTATTAAAAAGAATCGGTAGTGCCCTGGCTGCGTAGTTCTGCGAATAAAGTACAAACAAACGTGTTTTGCTGTTGGTCTTGTTTAGAGTTATTCATAACGTTACTGTTGAAACAAAACCGTTCTTGGGTGTCTCTAGCACCCGCTCTAGCTTGTTAAAATGACTGCCAGATGAGGCAAAGCATATTCAGATGGTATGATGAATAAACAAACACGAGTGTTCAATTTCCAATGTTTTTCTTTGTGTTATAGCATTACCCCTTTCTGGAACTTTTAAGGGCCAAAAAATCGGCATGAGATTTTTTGGGGGTTAATTTTTGGTCCAGGGTTTTTTGGGGGGTTTTGCTAGAAGCCCTAGGGATTTTTTTGGATCTTGACTTTTGGCTCCATTCGATCATCCCCCCGTCACTTGAAATCCCGAGTACGGAGCTGGAGCTAGGAGCCTTCTGGTATAAAACTTTGTTTCTGTAGCACTCCGGTGAACGTCTTTGTGTGGGGGGTGGGTTAAAAGCCTCAGAGCTCCACCCTCGCCTTGATCTCTGTCTGAGATTGTACTAGGAGCTTCTCAGCTTAATTTGTTAACAGGTCGGAAGTAAATGACTCAGTAACTTAAACTACAGTCGCAAGGATGTTCGTTGAGTCTAGTTTTCTTTCTGCTACTGCCGGTTCCGGCTAAAGGCCTCAACACAAAACAAAACGCCTGCCGCGCAAACTGTTGTTGGAAAGTTGTTGTTACGTAGTGTGGATATCTTTTTAAAGTCTTTTCTGTCTTTTTTAATATCTCATTTATTGATCGCACTATTACACGAAAAACACACTGGTCCCCACAAATCTTGCCTGAGCCCGCAAGATGTCAGAGCCTACATGACACCATACATAAAGTACTTACTTCTTTTAGTATGTCCAATATGGCGGACAAGTTTTCAAACTGCCTATCTTTTGTGTGACTTACTGTTTTTACCAGCGCTCATTTTATTTTCTGAGTGGTCAAAAAAGAAAGTCGACGCATACCGGAAGACAAAAAGCCTGTCTAAAGAGGATTAAGTTTTGATGATCCTTGCATGACCCGCGCCATAGCATTGTGCACTGTGTGAAACGCCAGACATAACAAAGGATTCCACATGTCTTTGCCATTAGGCGCCTCGCCCCGTGTTAACCGTGATTACCGACAGTTTGGACAGAGTCCTTTGTCACAGCCGTTTCAGAGCGCTTCGGCTGCTGCAATGGCCCAAGCAGGTGAGAGAATTTTCTTTGAAATTAATTTTGGTTTCGAGTGCTTTGAAATATGTTACTTGTGTTCTAATTAACAACATTAGAGGGGCCGGAGGGTAAACTTGAGATTCCTATCGGCAGATAGTCGTTATCAAAGCCGAACGAAATTGAGAGTGAGCCTTCTAATTGTCTCAGCAAAATTGTGCTAGGACTCTACTGTAAATTCAAGAGTCCTTTGTGGGTAATTTTGTTCATTTCATTGGGCATGATAACCTGAGCTTATGGTTGAGGTGAAGAAACCAACGCAATGTTTGTATCCAGTTCGGTTATACAATACTGTTAAAAAGTAAGTTGACAGTTCGTTGTGAGTCTCACTTCTCGATTCTTGATTCCTGTGTGAATCGAGAATTGAGAACAAGTTATCGAGAATCGAGTTGAGGATCAAGCCTCTCAAGTTAGAAAACAAAAGATTTACCCATGACTAATTTTACAATGACATAACACAACACGGCATGGTTTATTCGCATGAGTGACTGTAGGCTAAAGATTGAAACAAGACCAAGTTAAGCGAATGTTTCTTCAAGGACATCTGTATCAAGCCTCGTTTCCTCAAATACAGTTTCCAATGCCTGCTCCAAATGGAAACAAACGGTGTATACGCATGTACAAGAAAGAAAATGAATAATATCATGTTTTATTTTGTAAGGTCAAACCATTCTGGGCTTATCTGGGCGATGGGCATGACAAAAATCAGCTGTAAGATACATGTATGTCGGGAACTTGACTAACCTGTGGCTCTAAAATTGTGTTTGTGATCCTTGAAAATTTTTGACAATCAATTTTAATTCTACCAAGAAATGTAGTGCATTCTTTTAAGTTTGAGTTCATCTCTCATATTAGAAAATTGGGCCTTGTTTTTCTGCGATGAAATATGAGATGTGAACTTTTTTGTTGCCTAGTAGGTGACTGCAACTACCATGATGAAAAATTGCATGATGTTAATTTCAAAAGCGAATTGTTTTGCATGAGACGATATATTGTTTTTAAAGATCTTTAAAGTTTCTGAAGTTTTCTGAAGCTTTACATGTACTGTATATTCAAATCAAAACTTTTATGTAAGCAATCACGTGTTATCACTCAATCAATCAATACATTTATTTAAGAGTCAAACTTACATAGCAGTAGAGGAACCATAAAAAGTTGAAGGGCAAAATATCAAACTGACATGCTATCGCAAAACGGAAATTAAGGCCAAGAGGTCAAATTACAAGTAAAGTTTCAAGTGAAAAAAAGACCCTGGGCAGAGAGGACTTTCAAGTTTGATAATGCTGATGGACAGTCACAAACAGGCAAGTGAAAAAATTCAGCAAGACAAGTATTCGGAAGAAAAGCCAAAGAATTAAAGCATTGTCAAGCGTTTTGAGACTTTGTTTACACACCGGTGGGACAATGGCTATGTGGTGCAAATATTATGCTGTTATGTAATGTCACTGTTTTCTCCTATATTTAATCCTTAGCAGCAAGATTTCGTCCCCCTTATCACCCAAATCCTCAGGCCATGATGGCACAGGTTTGTTTCATTATCATTTTGCTGTCATTTTAAAGTGTTTGGCCCCAACTGCTGAAAAATTGCAATGTACTTACCACCAACTATTTGAATTTAATTTTAGACACCAAATCAATGGGGACAGATTGGCTATGGGCAGCCTAGATTTACCCAAAGATATATTTCACCTGTAAGTACATGTATAGAGGATTGCTGGAAGTCATAAAATGTTACTAGACTTAAATGAACAGGAGACAAGCTCCTTGCTCTTCCTTACTTTTAGTTTAGTGCATGAATTTGTTCTTAGTAAGCACTGGATCCTTGTTTCCACTGTTTTTTACCATGTTTAATCGCTGTTAACTACTGCAGTGCTTAGTGGAGGTGGGTGCTCAGGATGTCCAGGATCCCACTTTTGGCAAAGCCAGCCGGCCGTAGACAGAGTCATACCCTTTTTGCTGGTAAACCTGTGCCCTCCAGCCATGAGCCCCCATGCCAATGGAATTAGGTACCTGTCATACTGATTACCAGTGGAAAAATTAGAGGGGAGGGGTGGGGTAAATTCCTGATCCAAAGTCTGATTGAAGCAAGTGGCTGCCAGGAAAATGCTGTATTTAGCACATGGAGCTGATGCCAGCAAGGCTGACTGCACCTGAGCAACCCAACTGACCGCTGATCAACAACAAGAGGTGGCACTCCTTGTTGTTAACTGCATTAACTGAAATTAACATCATGTGGTTTTTCTCAATTTAATGGAACTTTGCTGATCGTTGTAGTGCTTTATTTCTTGACAGACGTCTGATATTCGTATTCCAAAGCCACCAAAACCCCCAGAGAAACCGTTAATGCCATACATGAGGTATAGCAGGAAGGTGAGCTTAAAGACATGGCTCTTTTAAAGTTATGTTAGTTAAAATCTTATAGGTTTATCGTTGTTCCGATATATGGCCATTGCACAGTTCTAAGTGGCCATTGAAGAAAGGTGGCCATTACATGTATCATGGGTAGTCTCGTAAAATGCAAATTTTCTAGAGCCACTTAAAACAACCATTAAAATCTCTTAGTACTAAGAACATTTGCTGTTATAATGATCTTAATTAAAACTTATCAACACTGCCCTAATTTCCATTTTTCTTTTCTTTGCAATTCCATTAAGGTTTGGGACCAAGTCAAACTTCAGCATTCAGAGTTGAAATTATGGGAAATTGGAAGAATCATTGGACAAATGTGGAGAGATTTGAGTGATGAGGAAAAGCAGGTACAAGGTTGAACTTGAATATCTATGATGTAGCAAAAAAAAGGGTTAGTTTTTTTGTATTAATTTTTAGAAGTCCAAGAAAGCTCATTTTGTTAGGTTTGAGAAGTTGATTCACTTTACAAGAGTTCAAAGAACTAGTTTACTGTCTTAATGGTGAAATCACGTGAACCAGGTTGATGCTGTTGTCCTTCTGATAAAATTAATGCAAGATGGATTGTAAGGACAACATCAAGCTTTATTTGCAGGACCATATAAGTACATACAGTATTGAAAAAGCTATTTTTATTTATGTTTTAAGAATAAGAACTAAAATTTTATCACTGTACAATTAAGCTAGCGGTACTTTGTTAGTAATTTGTCATGAAAGTCAAAGCAAGCTGAGGCCATACAATGAGGCCCTCTAAAGGGAGGGGGTGGGGGGTACATACACTGTATGTCCCTAGTCTCTGAATTGCAAAATTAATATGCTAATTTCGTGTTTTGAGAAATAGCCCATGTCCCTGTCACCATTTAACCCTGTCTCCACTTCATCTAATATTATGTCGCTGTTTCATGGCAATGTTGCTTGTCAGAATTTTACCCTGACAATGCCTCTACAATGTCCATCAGGAAGTTGAAATTCTAGTGAGGGGCCTTCAAAATTTACTATTAGTTCCACAGCCAGGGTAGTGAAGTGTACCAAACTGGTGTTCTGAAGGGCGGTGGGTTTGAGTCCTGTTTGGGAGTCCATTTTTTCTTGATCCCATTCTTTGCCAATAATTCTTTTTTTTTTCTCCTTTAGGAGCATATGGATGAATATGAAATTGAAAAGGTGAAGTGAAAACTGAGAGTGAGAACATGTGCTTGAATTACAATGGAACTTTTTTCTCGTGTTGATAGCTTTCATTTTTGGTGTTCCTGCCTGTTTTTGTTTGATAATAGACTGTTTTAAATTTGTTTTTTGATCCATTTCTTGTACATGTCGTGCCAGAAGGTGCATAAAGCAGTTTTGAGAATATTTTTCATTTTGCCATACAAAACATACTGTACTTCCTCGAATAATAGCCGGGGTGATTATTTCTTTTTTCGCACAAAAAGGGGGCGATTATTCGAGGGAAGGCGATTATTCCAGGGAGGCAGTTATTTCAAATATTGCTCACTGGAAGTCGTGCCTTAAAATTAATATTAGAATATTTTATTTATTATTTTTCCATTAAATAGAAAAATAATCACATCAAATAAACTGAACATGGGTTTTTTAATTGCAAATTTTAGTCCCTTGATTCAGAGCTTGAATAGTCACTGATCAGTTTTTACAAGGAGGGGATAAAAGGAAGAGAAGATGGCAAGAGGGGTGAAGGGGGGCAATTATTCGAGGCAATTATTTCAAATATTTCCGTCAAACGGGGGTTATTCTTTGAGGGACGGCTATTATTTGATTTATATTGCTATGTGCAGTGTTATAAGAACGCATGGTATTGCCCATTCCCTTTCAGAATGTTGTTCTTCTCACCCTTGCTGAGTAGTGCGGAATTGATTTGTTTTTCCCCTTATATCTTAGCAAGAGTATAATGAAGCGATGAAGGCATATCACAACTCTCCTGCTTATCAAGCATGGATTGTAGCAAAAGGACGAGGTAAATAAGTGCCTTTTCGGTCAAGTTACATTGTATGGTATATGTCAAATCAAACATTTTAAGCCCTCTGAAATCAACACATGCAATTGATACTGTAGTTTTAACTTGTTTTTTGAGAATCTTGATGAATTCCTGTGGTTTGTCCAGTTTTGAATTTATAACATCAGCATACTGGTTATGTCAGTTTAAGTGCATTTGTATGTACACTGTTTATTCTATGGTGTGGGATTTTAGTAGTTCATACTAGACACTTTTACTGCCTGCTGATGCAAAAAAGAAAAAAACTATTGCATTTCATCATCTGGTTCAAATTTCTTGCTGATTTGGCCAAACACATTGATGATGATGGTGTTGGTGATGTACATGACAATGATAAATGTATCACCACCTTGAAAGACTCTGGATTAAACTGCATGTCCCAACTTTGCAAAAATCAGCACTTTTTGGTACAGCTAATACAATCATGATGTATTCTACAAAAGGTGCTTTCTGTCTGAGGTCATTGACTTGACATAGAGAGCACATACTCTAACTGACAAGAATTCTAGGATCAACGTTTACTGTGCAAAGTGAGGAATGATGATGATAATAATAATAATAATAATAATAATAATAATGATAATAATAGTAATAGTAATAGTAATAATAAATTATGATAATGATAAGTCTGATTCATCACTCAGGAAGAGTTAAAAGTGTGATGGTTTTTATTTTTGGCTGCCATGTCGTAAGAGTGCTAAACAAAGTTGAGAGGCCAAGGCAAACGCCTTGGGCTTACAAATTGTCAAAACCAGAAAAAAAAAACATTCAAATTTCTTTGTCATATTCTAAGATTGTACGTAGTCATTTCTTAAGGCAGAGGAAGAGCCCTTTTGTACATCAAATGTTCCCATTTCTATTAAAAAATGGCCTACTCTGAAGAAGTTGTGGAATGAACACTGTACATGTATGTAGCTCGTGGATGCTGCAAACTGTGGACAAGGACTGTTGGTTTGTGGCCTTTTTTTGTTTTAACATGATACCTGACTTGTTGTTTTTTCAGCCCAGGCTGCCCTTCAGGAGCAACAAGCTATGGAAAGAGCAATGATGGGTTCAATGCCTTTTGGGGTGATGTCTTATTCTTTTATTTTTTCCTAACTTACAGGTTGTTGTCAGTACTTTATGGAAATCTTTTCTTTATTGCAGTGTAGTGGTCATTAATTATTTTTACCATTGTCAGCATGCAAAGAAAGTAGTGTCCTATAGCCTGGGTTTGTGGATTTGCTATCGAGCTAGTGAATTCTGTTATTAACTTGCCTGATGGGCAAGTGAATTTTTTTCAAGGAATTCAAATTACAGAAGAGCTGTGAAATCAATCTGCTCATCAAAACGTTTTTTGGGCTAGTTGAAATGATATTTGGACCAGTAAATGTTAGCTTCGGCTTGCCTGAATGGCAAGCTGTAAAAATGACTTTCTTTGCACCCTGATTGTAGAATGTTTTTACTATGCGATAGCCTGTGTTTCAGTCACGAGAAATATGGAGCACAAAATAGAGCAAAATACATTGAAAACACTTTTTAAGTTCACCAGAGTACTTTTAAATCTCTAGAAATGCATTCTCAGCAACGGTACAAAATTTCTATCTGTTTGGTCATCCTAGGGGAACTTAAGTCTTTTCGAATAGGGAGGGCTTCAGTATTATTTTTCCGAAAACTTTAGGTGCAATTTAACGGTTTACGAAAGTGAGAATTTTTCTGATTCCTCTCTCCATCACATTTTATAATCTGAAAATTTTAGGTTTCCTTTTTCTAAGAAAAATAGTGTAACCTGGATGGTAAAAAGTGAAAAATTAAACTTCAGAAAATCGAAGGGAATTTATGAGATAAGTTTCGAAAATTGTACTTGAATGCAACGTTTATTTTAAAAATTCTTAGCCTTCGTCAAGCAAGAGAAAGTTCAAGGCAACACTTGCTTCTCTGAACAGTTAGTTTTAACGAAAACAGTCATTGCATGCCCCTGATTGCTTGCAAGAAAGAGAGACGTCTTTTTTGCTTGGCTTTACGTTTCTCATGCAGTTACTATACAAGCTAATACTGTGACATGTCTCATCTTACAGGTCTAGAAGATCCACTAGTTTTAATAGTTAATATCCACGTGGTATGTTTTGATAGCTTATATCAAACTTACATGCAATTTCTTTGTTTTCCCCAGAAATTAGACGATGCCAGGTTTGGCATTCAGCCTGTGGATGACGATGATGGTAAAATTTTACTTAATATATTTTGTCTGCTTTGGATTCTACAGAAACAGTCTAAGATTTATTTTAATTTATATTTAGTTATTTTAATTTACATCACTGTGTTGTAATCTAACCAGTAACTGTTGTTCACTCTTGCCAGATGAGGATGACTCGTTTTCGGTCAAGCACGTATCAGCTGCTCGTTTTCATCGAAATCACAAATTAATGGCCGAGATATTTAGTGATACAGTCGTAAGAGATGTTCGAACAGGTATGAATAATCTTTTTTATTTCCCAGCTGGGCCCGGTTCCTGAAAGGTCAATTAGCGCTAATCCAGGATTAAGATTTTGTTCCGTTTTTGTATTTTACCTTCCTATGTATTGCTTGGAGTAACATTTTGTGTTATCATTACTGTATCTCGGAGAAAAGGCTGAACAGTATTTTGTAAGCTTAAGTTGCATGTTCTCAGATAAGAAAACCTTGCTTAAAATTGAACCGGGCCCAGGTGTGACAGGATTCATTTAACTAAAGTAAATTCCCTTTCTGTTTATTAGCAGGAAAAAGTATATCAGTTATTGATAAGTGAAACTGGAAAAAAATAGATATCGCTTTCGGATAAAAACTCTACTTCTCGGATTTGATACGTTGCCGTTTTTTGTTTTCCTCCGTTGCTTAAAAAAGGTTATTATTTGGCTCTGGCTATCCGTAGCTTTGGCTTTATGCTAACATTATTATTAGCATCAAAATTGGTGAAGTTTAGCTGATACATTTTGAGTATTATTCATTTCTACCTTAATAATTACCATTTAATAATACATTGGGTTTGGTTGGGAAGAACACAACATTTTTCGTTTAATCTTTGGGTTTATAAATAATTTACAAATATTAATTTCTTAACTTGCTCTGTAACCGTTTTGATATTTGTAGTGGTCACCAAGACCCGTCTGGGAGTCTTAAAACGCCAAGTCCAGTCTCTGATTGCACACCAGGTAACTTTGCATAAGCTTCCTTACTCAGGAAGAGAATTAAGTTCTGTAGAAATCCATTCCTTTACTTCAGTAACCTTGCCACTAGTCTGCTACGCAACTCCCCCCCCCCCCTCCTGTGTAAAAAACTTTGGAGGCCACTTGATTTGTACGAGAGCAAATGTTATAAGCGCGTGAAAGTTGAGAAACTCCGGCTATTAGAACTCTGGCTTTGCCTCTCATCCCTTTTCCAGGCGTCATGAAATATCTTGAAAATCTGTTCATCGATAACATCACGTGATAGACAGTTAGTGGGAGGAATGTGTGGCGAATGTGTCCAATATTTTCTCACGTGACAGTGTTCCATCGTCAAAGAGTTCTTTAAGGGGCTATTCACATGATACCGGAATGACTTTCACTCTGGAACGAGTTCATTCCATCTCCTTATTTTTACCAAAACGACACTGAGTTCCTGTACAAGTCATTCCGGAATGCGCTCACGACGGTTTTCAATCCGAAATTCTTGTTCTGGTGCGACTTTTCATTCTGGTTGCATGTAAACTGAAGACAAACTTTGTTCCGGATTGAAAATCGCAAATCGTGTAGTCTGGAACGAGTGACGCTACTTATCTGATCTGGAGCAAAAACCACGCGAGGGCGAACGCCTTAAGCTGTGCCGTTCGATTTTATCACTTGAATACAGCACGAGCGTTACTGTGGAACGAAACTCATTCCGCAATGAAAATCATCCCGGTGTCATATAAACAGCCCCTAAAATCCCTCTCTCATGTCATAAAATTGCTCTTAACATGTAAATTTCTTTTGCGCTAGAAAAAACTGGAGAGTGAACTGCAACAAATAGAGGAGAAATTTGAGAGTAAAAAACGGAAGTTCAATGATGACAGCGAAAAATTTAACGACGCTCTTAAGAAGGTAAAGTTTGTTGTGCTTCCTTTCAGTCGTGTTTCAGCTAGCTTGACAGCTGTGCGGGAGACCGAAATCCCGTCACCCACAAATTAATCCTTCCATCTATCGGGTCTACGCGTAAACGTGCAAAAGAGCACTAAAAACTATTACGTAGAGCTAAAAACAATTTTGTACGTGATGTAGTCGTCAATACTTCAAGTGAAATGCGGTTTAAGTCTAGGGCCACTTGACTGTAAAGTTTGTACAAATATTTTCCTTCGCAAACTCTTTTTTTTCTTTTTTTTTTAGTTGTGTGAGCCTCCAGCTGAAAAGAGGAGCGAAGAAAAGGAAGTGAATTCAAGCAAGACGAGTGAAAAAACCAGTGATTTATCTACGCAAGGGGAAAGTAAACCAGCCACGACCTGACATCTAGTGCGCTTGCTCTCTGTTACTCAACCACTGGACATGTAAATACCTGATAGGCTACTCAACCTGGCTTAGTTGTAATGGAGAAAAGTACTTTTGTTTCCCCGTCGTTCCACAGAAAGAAACGTCCACAACAAAAGTTATCATTGTCAATATATACTTTTTTTGCCATTATTCATGATAGTAGTCCAAACATGATAGTCGTTAGTAACTTTGAAGATTTGTCAGTCTCAACGCTCGTCTGAGAAGAAATCGCGTAATTTGGCGCCTTCGGCAAAGAGTGGTTTTCGCTGAAATCTAAACACCTTTGGTTTATGAGTATTCCCTTCAATTTTTTCGGTGAATAGACTTTCTTAATAAGAGCCTGTATGTTTTTCTTTTCCTTTTCTCGCCCGAAAGCCAAGAGTACCTCACGAGCAAGGTTGGAAAGTAACTGTAGAACGGTCGGACAAAACGTTGTTAGAACGTTTTTCTCCTAGTTAACTCTTTTCATAAATGAAAAAGAAAAAAATCAGAAATCGAGTTTCTCTACTTGCCCTGGGAGGTATTAACGTTATAAAAAACTTAGCGAAAAGCATTATCAAATTTCCTTTTCGCGCTGAAAAGAGACTGCAAAGTACTACTGGTAGTAGAACTAGTAGAAGTAGGTGATGTCATTAGTGTACGAAAAAGTTTGGGAACGGATGAAGACATCGTTATTTTAGCTTATGTTGTTTGCGTATGATCGTGCGTGTGAATGTAGTCCAGACCCCGGTTGTTCAAAAGATGGATAGCACTATCCAGCGGGTGAGTATGAGGAAAATCAATTGCGCTATCCAGTGGATAGAGATTTATCCGATGGATAGCGTTAAACTTTTTAAACAACCTGGGGCCTGGTCAACAAAGATTTGGTTTTATTAACTGAACTGATTTGATAAGGTAAATTGGCCACGGTGGGGCCTATCTATTAAACCAAGTCTTTGTATTCACTCTCACACACACAGCATCTTTAGTTTCTTCATTCATCTGTTGTCCTGAACAGTCGTGTGGGCCACAGTCTGTACGTAGACAGGCAGGAAACATTGAAAATAACTGTTTCAATTCTTTGTACAAAAAAAAATTATAATAAACTACGTAAACTTGTCTGATTTATTATTATTATTATTATTATTATTATTATTTTAAATTTTCCTCTTTCAAGTATAAGAAAGATATTATGGGCAGCAGGAACAGAAATGCTTTTTCTTTAGTTGCCTGGAGCTCTTTCATCCATCTTGTAACCTTTCCCTGCAATGGTTTCTCCCTTAAATTCCTTGGCCCCGCTCAAGTGGGTCGAAGACACTGCTAGCGTAGCAAGGCTGTAAAATGCTCGGATGCTGGCGGAGGGAGACGAAAGCATGCGGAAACAATGGAAAGGCGACAAACTGGAGCGTCCTCGCCTCGCACGGAAAGACTCCTTTTCATCACCCTTGCCCAGAACTTGTTCTGGAGCCTTTATCCAAAAGGGGAGCAAGTACATCGAGTAGTCAGAGCTTCCTTATAAAAGATATAACCTTTGTACAATAATTCATTATGGGTTCGTGCGTTTTCGTTCTCTATTCTTTTCTGATATCATAGGGAAGGGTATATTAAAAAATTTAGACAGGGGCACCCAACGACAATATGGTTCAAAACCACTTAAACATAGCATTGTTTAACGTTTGTTGGTATTTAAACGGTAGATATAGGCATACTTTTATCCCCTAAAAATTTTTCATCTGTTCGGATTTCCTAGCTGAAAGTCTATTGATCCGAAAATTATAGGGACCAAAACTTACCATTTCGAAAACTTCAGCCAGAAAAAAGGCTCCCGAAAACTCTAGGTGACCTTTTTAGGGTAAAAATCCGTTAAAAATGGGCAAATAGACCATTTTTTTAGATGTTCGAAAATCCTAGGAGAGGCAGCCAAGCAAGAAATTTTACAACAAATGTTTCGAAAATTCTAGATCTCAAATCGTCTTCCGAACAGAATTTTTCCGAAAATTGACGTTGCGTGCCCCCGGTTAGAGATTGTGATGGGAGGAATATTTGATTACTTGTACTCTCTTCAAAGCTGACTTTGCATCATGGAATTAAAGGCAGGGCGAGTCCCACCTCAACTAAGGTTAGCATCTTCGCCTGGGATTGTGTCCAAATGAATTTCTTTGCTTGGTTTTCCTGTTTGTTTTTTTGGCCCAATGTAGGTCATGCGCCTAAATTATGCGTATATATGTACGCAAATAGGAAGAAATGTGAAAGAAACTATAGGAACAGTTCTCACGACCTGCAAAACCCAACAAAATTACAAGTAGGTCAGCCGATTGGGCTCTGGGGCTGAGTCATGCGAGCCTCGGTTTGAACTTAGCTACTGCAGCTACTGCAGTTTCTTGTTGAGCAAAGGTCTTTGATGAGCGGACAAGTCGATCGAAAATGTCTGGTATATATTTTCAGTCTGCAATTCCACTCCGGCCGTTGGAATAATACTCAGTCAGCTTTCGGAATTGGTAAGTAGGTCATTAACCTTAAAGTTTTTTCCTACAAAATAAGTAATACATAACTTTTTCTATATGCAAACGATCGAGCTAGCTGCGCGGATTACATCAGGGCGTAACACATCGGTACTCGATCAAAATCGATAAACATCGATACTAATCAATTGATTAATATCGGAAATCGATAAAAATCGATCGCCAGATTCTTTGTGATTATCGATTTGATCGATTTCGTTCGATTAGTATCGATTTCGATCGATAATATTGGGCAAGAAAAGGTACTGTTCACGCTTATAGAACGAAGAATATACGTTAGCGAACTAACCTAAGACGTTCGTTAGCGAAACAACTACTAAGCGAAACAACCGGTTTCCCGCTAAAAGATTCCATTTTAATGAAGTTTGTTTGAACAATCTTTTATTTGTCTCTCCTAACCTTTTTGACGCTGTGAAACACTGTAAGACATGAACATATATATTCTTCTCGCGGGTATCGAAACGAAGAAATGATTCACATCAAATTAATTTGATAATTCTGATATTAATTCTTCAAATAAACATTGAAAAGTAAAGTGATTTGGAAGGAATCTCATTTCCATGTTCTTAAAAGAGACGGACTTTTTGTACTCTTTTAGAAAAGCCCAGTCACAAGGTTCTTGAATAGATCGTTTCCAAGTTCAATTGCCCCAAGCCTATATTTCAAAGTGAGGCCATCCTCTCTTTTTTCTCTGTTTGCCGTCGCCCAACCGACCCAAATCTTTGGCATTTTCAAAAAAAAAAAAAAAAGTAACTAGGTAGTTAACCCATTTTTCACTTTAAATAATTCTTTTAATCTGAAAAGTGAGCATAGTAACAGCATTGAGAAAAACAGGAACAAAAACATGAACAGTCTTTACAGTTTATTGTGCAATTTGATAATCCAAATATTTGATTGTTAACTTTTAATGCCGTCCTGGGGTACCAGGGCCTCCTATTCCGAAACTTCTTGTGATTTTTTTTTATTTTTTTTTTTTTCAACCCGACCGACCGACCCAATATCAGGAAAGGCATTTGGTGTGTAACCAAAAAAGGGGGATGGCCATGAGGCCAAGTGCGAAGCCATTGATATGAAAATGTAAATTAAAGTCATAATCACAAGAAAGGTATTTAGGACTTGGAAATGGCCTATCGGTATCTGTTTAATCCTGCCTTTCACCAAGGGTCAGGGGAGTGGTGCGGGGAGCTCAAAAGTCAAGGAAAGCCCTCTTAAAATCAGGCCTTCTGTAAGGTGTGTTTCTATAACAAAATAATGGACTGTTCCACTTGTGGAAAATCTTCAAACATTACATTCTTTGAACACTGTCTTTATATGCCCAGCCATGGACGATACAACTTTTTATAAACTTCAAAAAGAATAACAAGAAGAGGTTTTGAGCTTGATCAATCCCTAGCAGACTAAAGAAGAATACTTGAATACTTGGATAAACCCTTTTTTACCGTCGTAAACAAATTTTATATGGTAATGGACCAGAGACGGAGAGAACGAGTAGTTATCTAGTAAATGAGGGATGGAATACCTTTAAGTGTGTCCGAGAAAATAATGTTCCCAAGACTGATAACATGCAATTTATGTTCTCTGTTTTATTATGGCAAATTCAAATTGGACACTACATGTAACAAAAATAAAGGAACCAAAATTGCTAACACAAAGAGGCAATCTGAGTGATATATTTTTTGAAAAAATGCTATGTACACCAATATAATTATGTAATATACATAACTGACATGCTTTTCAGCAGCTGACATGTGCCGGTATCTATATTTTAATAACATACAATTCTTTCACTTTTTTCTGATGACTGTTGTGTATACGATGGGCACGATCTATTCAATCAAAATTTCTGGAAATTTCGCTTCAAAACTCAATGGATCGCTTCGGTCCAACCAGAAAAGTTTCGAAAAAACTGGTCCACCTTTTGAGGTCGGCCACTTTTCACGGTCGGACCAGTCTGAATTTTGGTTGAATGGATCGCGCCCAGTATCTCCTTACAAAGCTCTAATGAGTAAGATAGCGAAAAGTTATCCTCTCTTTCATTTGGATTTGAGAGGGCGCAAACTTATATGCACAATCAACTTGACTTTATGGTCAGTCAAATACTGTGGACCAGAAAGACTTTTTGCGACCAAGAGTTTAAGACAGCTGTCTTGCTTTTTCATTTTTTTTGCGAAATTCTCTTGTGAGCGTCTGACTCGTGTAAACTAAGGGGATGATTGATTGAGTATATAATTAGCTCTAGAAATTGGTTACAAGTTTGTGTTTTTTTTAAATCCCTCCCGGTATAGGCGTGTAATGTTTTAAGCCTAAAGTACCTCATTTAAGAATACCTCTTCACATGTGCAACCCTTTGTGTAGCATTTATATTCTGTATGTATCACTATATGAAGCATTATCCCTGAAATAATGATGAAAAAAAGTGAAGGCAGTTCGATTGGGAAATCTGGTTTTAGATTTTAAAATCTGGATTTTGAATTTGCATTCGAACGTGAAATCCGAAAACGGATTTAAACCCTGGGATATCTGTTTTTGGATGTCCTTTCAAGGATTGGAAAAACTGTCCTTAAGAACAGCGGTCTTGGATGCGTACGCATAATTAGTAAAAGAAGACTGCTGTTCATGAGAATAGTTTTGCAAATCTTTTTCCAGATGTCCCAATCGAACGGTAAAAGGGAAATCCATGAAATCTGGATTTGGATTTCTTAATTGAAATTCACCCTGAGGACGGATTTCTCAGAGGTGAAATCCGTTTTTGGATTTCGCGTTTGATTGCAAAATCCGAAATCCAGATTTCAAAATCTAAATCCAGATTTCCCAATCGAACGCAACCTTATTATCTATTTATTCCTCTACTTATCCTAGGCATCCTTTCTGTCAGAGGTAAACTTTCACATAACACAGTTCACTTGATTGGATGTATTTCCATGCTACTGAAACAAAGGTAGAGGACTTTCAACCTTTCCATGTTGATGATGATGCATGTAGTTAAATGAATTTACCCCTTTGGTAATGCTTTTTAAGGTATGTAACATAGCAGCATGATAAACCTGCTGAGTATCAAACGACTTGTAATAATGTTCTATATGGTAATGAAAGTGATAATGTCAGAATGTTCCAGTTGATTTGTATGGCCATTTTTAATGACTCAAATCGGCTTGTGACTCTTTTCATTACCGGTGACAGAAGTTTTTGCCACTTAACGTAGCTTGATCGTTATTTTCACCGTAATGTTCTGCACAACATAGATTTTAACTCGTTTCAGTATGGCCTCATTTGATCCCTCATGTTCCATTTTGTTTGTTGTTTTTGCGTGACCATGTCACATGATCTCTGGGGGTGATGTTATGTTACTTCTTTGATTATAACTGCTCACAAACGTTGGCCAGTAACGAAGCATCACCACACAGATGATATTTTTTCGATTCAAATGTCACACTTCTGTAATCACAGTGTCTCCATTTATGAATAAGGCCTTCTCATCATGGTTATTCGACGGACTGTGAATGTGATTGTAATTGTGATTTCCATCGTCCGCGGGCGTTGGTGGACTTCCTCGTCTTACAAAAGTGCTTTGGAAAAAGCTAGTTAACGAGCTTTTTCTCTTAGTGCGGCTTCCATAGAGGGGGGCGTAAGGGTTTGCGGTGATGCGGTTTTGCGTTATTTTTGGTGCGGTTTTGCGGTAATTTTTATTTTAACTCGCGGTATTGCGGTTTCAAAACACTAAGCGGTTTGCGGTTATTACATCCTTTAAGTCGCGGTTTTCGGTGAAAAAAAGTGTCTGCGGTGATAACACTCTTCAGAACGGTCGGCATCCGGTTGTTTTGCAAGCGCGAGCCAAGTGTTTTGTTTTTTATATAACGCATCAGAGTTCATTATATCACCTTACAATTTAACTCTGTGGTTTGCAATTACGGCCTTTTCCAGTTAATACCTAATGTGATTAACCGTTTTGGCCAATGATGCGTCCACTTTGTGAAATTCTATGCCGGATGTTAGCTCGTACAGCCGTACAGCCTGGTGTTCTCTTTGATTCAATGCGATAAAAGGGGGTGGTAGGCCTACACGACTTTTACCTCTTGCCAAAATGCTGCTTATTCCAATAAAGTTGTTTTTATCTGCTGGGTAGATTATGCTCTGGAAGGTTCTGCATTTTACTGAGCAAATGTGGTTTTAGCCGCATGTTTCACACTGAGAGGTCATGACATATATATCGATTGACTGTAGTTATTTTTTTCTGGTCGGCAGGATTTGCCCTCTGATGCAAGCGCATTTTCTTTGACCTCTTTTGAAGCGTAAAGCTTTTTTATTACGGCTGAATAAGGTTTCCAATTTTCTCCAAAGTGCCTTGTCCTTATGGATCTGATCGAAGCGATTTTCGTTAGTCCGTGAGTGTAATGTTTTTCTGCAATGCTGTATCACGCTGGGCCCAGCTCGTCAGTTTTCTTTGCAGAATGTTAAATTATCACGGATAGTGACTTACAGATCCAAAATTATAAGAGTGAACTGCAGCTTAAACTGAAGCTACATAAACTTACTATGGAGAATTGAATTGTGACTCAGTAAACTCCAGCTTAGTGTTTTTCTAAAGATAGTGTAAGTCTTTTGACTGGAGCGCGTAGTTCCTCCCTTGGTAATAGCTTTGAATAAGCTGAACAGTCTTTAAACTGTTTTGTTATTGCCACAGTTTGTGATCAGGCAAGACCATGATTTCGGTTCTCCTCACGAACCTCATCAGTTGCCGGGTTGGCTTTGTGCTTAGTTGCTTTTACAAGAGCAACTTTAGTTGTACTTTGTCGTGGCGAGAACGGTACAGCCGTTCTGTCTGTTGAGCTTTGAACTGAACATAAATACCCACGTGGCGGATCGAAATTCTTGTTTTCTTATTGGCTACTGAACGTAACCAATTGCGAACTGTGTATTTCGATCCTCTTCTGCTTCAAGCTAGAGGTGTGTTTTTTTGGAAAGCATTTTGTGAAAATTTAGGCACTTTCTTTCATGGAGGAGTTCGAAGACTCTTGTAAATAAATGCGCACAGAGTTTCCGTACACTCCCTCCAAGGGTGTATTTTTAACCCTGAAATGCAGAACTCTTGTCTTAAAACATCTACATGGTGATCGCGCGGCAGCCATTTTTTTGAAAATGGTTATCTGTCACTAAGGTTTCCAAATATGGTAAAAGTGAATATTCACGAGCATTGAACGCGAGTTACACGTTTCAACACCTTGTGAGTTTCTGATAGAGTATAATAGTGTAGTACAATATATCGTTAGCGTTATGATGGTATGTTTAATACTAACGCACAATGTTATCAGAATATATCATAGGTCTTGCTGACGTCAGCTTTCATATTGTGGCCTACATCTACGCGCGGTTTCGGAATTCGAGAAAAAATCCGATGCGGTTTGCGGTTTTTTGGCGTATTTCTGTGCGGTTTTGCGGTTTTCGGACCCCCCTTACGCCCCCCTCTCCATAGTTACGCAGATCCTTATCGCAGGCAGAGAACATTAACCTTTTAAACACACGCCGGAAGTCACTGTTAAAGTATGCATAGATCACTGGATTGCACGCGCTGTTTATATATGGTAGCACATAGTAGAAGGTGTAAACAATACCGTTGGCTAGATCTTGTGGGAGGTCCGTCAAGTATAGCGGGTCGTATTGATGGATGGTGAACATGATGAAAAACGGTGCCCAGCAGATAGTAAAAGTTAACAGCACTACAGCTAAGGTCTTGGTGGCCTTGAAGTCTCGCGTAATACTCTTGTGTTTACGTTTATCTTCTTTGCTGTTGGTACTCACAATACTGTGTTGCATTTTTTTGAACTGAATCCAAGCCGTCCGCAAAATCATTGAGTAGTTCACACAAAGTACAGTAAGCGGAACCAAGAAAGCCACAATGTTAGCCACAGTATAGAACACTCTATTGTCATTCGGGCACATTCCATTAACGGGATCCACATATACACCTCCCGCTCCAGGCCACCTGATAATAGCCAGCGACGCTAGAGTGGCTGCGTAAATCCACACGCCGCCAATAGCACCAAACGAGCGCCGTTTTGTCATATTTCTATGGTAAGCAAATGGTTTGGTTATTTTTAAATATCTGTCTACTGATATCACCGCTAAGTTAGCCATGGAGGCAGCGGCGCATATCATGTCTATCCAAACATATACCGAGCAAACTGCAGCATTAGGCATGCCTCTTAGCATCATTGCAATACGAAAAGGTAGGCTTGCGAGCCCATAAAATAGGTCGCTCACTGCCAACGATGCTATAAACCAGTTAGTTGGACTGCGCAAGCGCAGGTCGACATAAATGGCCACGCATACCAGAGTGTTTCCGAGCACGGTTAGCACTAACACAGTGGAGTAAAATGCCACAAGAATGTTTCTCTCCACGTCACCTATGGCGGCACCACTTGTCGTTTGAGATGTATTGTTCATGTCGTTTTGAGTTGTGTTATTCATGTTTACTTCTTGACAGTTTTCCGGCGAGAATAGTTGGCCTACGGTACTGGCATTGCTGAGGCTCTGTTGGCTTCCTTTCTTCGCGTTTCAGCGAACTACTCAGCTTTTAACGGAACAAACGATATGTAGTCTAATTGACGCGTTGTAGGTTGAGGATAACTCTCTTCCTGCTTTCTAACTGAATCCTTGCTGAATGATATAGTTTTGCTGGTTTGTCACAAATTCTTTTTTTTCTCTCAGTTAAGTGTTGGGTCTTCCAATCCTATTAGAGAAAGTGAGAAAAGCAGAAATTAATCATCAAATGCAGTTTTTGCAGGGTATTTTCCGGAGATTTTTACACAGTCTAAGGTTGATCGTACTTGGTTGTTAATGATTTCTCTTGGCTTATGATCTCTAAAAGTAATTTCATGTCGTTAATGTCGCATCTAGAAAGTTTCGTACCAGAGCTCTGGTTCCGTACTAGTTATATTACTGGTTATATTTAACTTCATTTGCTAAAATTACTTTTTTAAATAATCTGAAGGTTCTCTAAGATCGCAGCGTCGTGCCGAGCTCCTTTAGATGCGGCAGCGCACCATATTTTTACATTTTTTTATTCCTGTTTGGACGCTGGTTTTAAATTTATTGGTTGGTTTTTCGTTTATTGATTGGAAGTGGATCCACTAGGAATTCTGTTGAAATTACACAATGTTCATAACGTGTCGTTTTATATTAGAACTATACAGAACCCCTTCTAATGGCGTCAAAGCAAGCAAGGAGTAAGAAAAAAAATGGGCACCCCATACAAAAGCTGGGTGGTAATTTATGTGCCAGAGGGTGGAAGGAGAAACCAAACTTGTTAATGAAGAGGCGAAAAATTGGGTTGCCCTGCAAAAAAATCTTAATAGTAAGATAACATCGATTATTTGTTTTTTGTAACATACTAAGAGGAAATGCAGTTGTTTCCTCTTTTTACGTAAGAAATTCATTTTCAACACATGAGGAGACGGTAGTACTTCAACTACCACTCGTACTGGAGGCAGCATAAGCCGGTTAAGGAAGCATAAGAAACCAAACGCAATGAAGGAAGACTACTACCTTGCTGCGTCTTTGATCACTGATACAAAAAATATTCACTGATCGCATAACAAATGTGCCGAAGATGCCGTTTCTTGACAATCAAACTCACCAACTCACTCACTTGCACAACTGAAGTGGTTCTTGTCAGCAGTTCAGAGTTTTGGATGCAAGGCGAATTTGTATTCGTTCATGCCTTTTTTGGTTTCCAATGACAGCTATACAGTGTTAGACTGATACATGGCCTAAGGTTTAACCATTACAATGGATTGGCGTGGTTTTCTTGCAACACCTGAAAAGGATTTCCTCTGGAAAAGATTTTCAAGCAAGTGACTGGCTAATATTCAATTGCTGGAAGTAGTATTAGGATGCAACGTATTACACGGATTTGTGTGTCGGTTTTAACAAAGACTTTGTTATTTATTACTCGCGAAAGATAAAAAAATGAGCTGAATGGAGAGATTGCTTTTTGTCGGGGCACTGGAGAACTTTTTGAAAAGACAATATAGTTAGTTAGAGATGTATAGACTGAGAAAGCTGTTTTTTCGGCAATTGGCTGGTACATAAAGCACTGAGAAAAATGGTTCATCGTTGGGTTACTAAAAATTTCGAACTGACCGCGGACTAAGACAGTTACTCAGAATTACTGACAATAACCTGAAGTAATCCGTTCGCATGTTATGCATTAAGCCGCGCACGAAAGGGGAAAATGGAAACCTTTTTCTGAATATAAAGTGGAAATAGTCTTATGCCCTGATAAGTATTTTTCCTCGTATCGTTTTTAGGAAATTTGTGCGTTTAAATAACAACTTCCAGACTTCCAGTTTATGTCGCTTTTAGTTTAGCAGTGCAGCATTGCTGTTGTGGAAATGACAGTAGAAAGTATTGGTCAGTAAGGATTGCCTTAGTGATAACTGTTAAAAAAAAAGGAATTATGGCCAACGACACAACAACTTAAAGGTGCAAAAACACTTCGCTTTCTTCGTCAATGTTTTTAATAACTTGCTCTCTTCGTGCAATGATAACTAAAATAACTGTAGCTTAAATTGTGGTTTACCTGTCGCATGTCTTGCACAATTTCTTTGTGAGAACCATTTTTGAAAGGTATCCGTCTTGGTTGAATTACTTTGTTATTTGTGCTGTAGTCAGTCTTTGTAATTTGCTTCTATAGTTTCATCGTGCCTATTTCCTCGCGTCATGTGCACTTGTGCACGACCAAAAAAAAACAGTTTTAAAACAGGCAGGTTAATTGTTGGTAATTTTGCGTGAAGTTTGCCTTCCCTACGCAGTCACGTCTCGACGCGTCCTATGGAAGGAAGTTACGTGAACAGTGAGAATGAGAAACTTAGGATAAGTAATGAAGGACGGAAGTGACGAAGATTCTCAAAAGCACTAAGTTTGGCATTGAGCGGTTATCGCCGGGCCAGTCAGTATCAAGCAACCATTGCTAGCCTCGAATTGTCAAACTTCTGCGATGTTGCTTTCCTCGTTTTGTTACGCCTTCGATTTTTAGTATCACCTCGAATTTTCCGTTGTTTAGCGCATAATCTTGAGGATAAGGGCACTTCCATTTCCATAATAAAAGCAGTGTTTTCTTGTCATTCAAACGAACAAGACAGAATGAAAATTGATGGCATTTTATATTCAAAAGCCGGAAGGCATATTGCATCAAGTCTCTCCTTTGTAAACTTTAAAATGTATATTCAATACCAACATCATCACATACGTATAAGTTGTCAGTAACCTGTTTTTAAATCTTTGGTGTTTTAAAACTTATTGTTGTAGTGGACTGGCCTTCTTACTCCGCATGGTTTTGGCCTTTCCAAATGCGCTTCATTTAGCAAGCTAACGCTACGATACATTGGTACAAACCAATGTCACCTCTGGAATAACCAGACGAGTACTGGAAACTATATGTTTCCCTTAAAAAGAGACAGAGCTGAACAACGTCTGCGCATGTGCATAGACGGGAGAGGTCTGGGATCTAACCTAGTATCGTTTTCAAAGGGTTTTTCAAAACATCCTCACATTTTGGCGATTAGTAAGGTGGATTCTAAATATTTAAGGTTCTCATTTAAACTAAAGGTAGATTATTTCATACTTTATTGAATTCTCGTTTCTACCCTTGTAATTTTTCTCCTACTTTTTTCTATGAACAAAAGAAGACGCACGAACGAAGCGTCCCTGCAATAATAGTATCGTTTGCAAAGGGATTTTCAAAACATCCTCACATTTTCCCGATTTTTAAGGTGGTTTCTGAATATTCAAGGCTCCCATTTAAACTAAAGGTAGATTATTTCATACTTTATTTAATTCTCGTTTCTACCTTTGTAATTTTTCTTCTACTTTCTTCTATGAACAAAAGAAGACGCACGAAAGAAGCGTCCCCGCTATAAATAGTATCGTTTGCAAAAGGATTTTCAAAACATCCTCACATTTTCCCGATTTTTAAGGTGGTTTCCGAATATTCAAGGCTCCCATTTAAACTAAAGGTAGATTATTTCATACTTTATTGAATTCTCGTTTCCACTTCGCAATTTTTCTTCCGTTTTTTGCTATGAACAAAAGAAGATGCACGGACGAAGCCGAAAACAGTTCTTTCATTCGAATGTGTACATTTTCAAGCGTAAACACATGAAAGAACAGACTATCAATATGTTATCAGTTCTAAGAAATCGTCCGGACATCATATCAGTGTCAGCATTAAAGGTACATTTTATTTATCTTTGTTTTTCCTTGAATGATGGTCTTTTAGTTATTTCTCTTGTTATATCTCGCTTGGTTTCACCATGAGAACTGTAAGAACACAAAACAATCACTGAGGTTTCGAATTCAATCAAGTTCTTTCTTCCAAACTTGTTTCCCTTTATGACTCATTGTTAGCTCAGCTCAAAAGAGCTATTATAAATGTTTGTATTTGACAACAGGCAAAATTAATGTTGAAAAGAGTAAATGGGTAAGTAATACCGTCGATGCTTGCTGGTAAAAGTATCAATGACTTGAAGTTCTCTAAAAAGCTTCATTACAGGGAGAATAACTTTCATTTATTTTTCTGTTCAAAGTCTAGATCTTCATTCCTTGATTCTTCTGCTTCATTCAATCCTGTCATAAATGGAAAACCTATAGTTAATACGAAAACTCACATAGAGCTGAGCCAACTTGTGATTGTTTCTCAAAACTTCAACAGCTTTAAACTTTAAAAGTTTATTCATTCTAAGCTTAAAGGTGCAAATTGAATTTTAAACAAACTTAACTGAATAAATACTGATTCTAAAGCTCGACCAGCGCCTCTAAGCCGGCTAGAGGTACGAAAATCTTCTTTCATCGCACTAAGATTTGTAACTAAGTTTATGACTTTCATGACTTCTTGTGTCTGATCAGGGTATCATCGCGCTCAAAGCCGGCTTTCTTGCCACCAAGAAATGGTCAACAACTGCTATCGCTCGGCCTACATTTCAAAGATTTGCTCCTCCTTAACCAGAATAAAGAAATGTTTAAGTAAATCGTTGACGTACCGTCGAAGAAAAGCCGCCCAAACTCCAGCACATTGCCCTTTTTTAATTTCTCAGTCATCTTTCTGCAAACTTACTGACGATCTGCATCAAAACAATGAAAAACCTTCGCCGGGACGGTCAAAAACATTTTCCTTGATCCCTGGATTGCGTAACATTTCTTTCAATGAGTTGCATTTCTAACGTATTCGTAGAATTTCTCCTTCGTTGGCATTCGCAAATATGAGTTTGGATGGTCTAAGATAAAATGGTCTTGCAAGAATTTCACTTTGCCCGAATGCTTCGCGCACGGGCTAGACAAGTAAACAAGTGATGTCACGGACATGCGTAGTACGTTATTCAGCCCTGTCTTAAAAAGATGGTAAAAACTTGGTGCGTCTTATTAGTTTTAAGCAAGAAAGGACCAATGGAAAGGGGTAATTATCCTCTCTC